CCTATTTTCCAAAATCAATACGCTCAACTGTTAGTAATCATTACAACTTGTTTCTAATTCTGGACGTCCATTTTATATTACCTATAATCATAATCCTACATACCTATATTAATTTATTTATTTGACTAGTACCTAATATTTTTGTTATTTTAAATTGATATAGTTGAAAAATCCGATCTCTATCTTACTCAAAATGAAAAGAAATACCTGCCCTACCCTTTATCTAAAAATAATTAACAATTTAAATAATGGTCTGCCAGTGACCAGTAGACGATCTAAGTGGTTAAATCCGTTATGGTCCAAAGCTAACAACTGAGAACGAAGATGTGATAGAGAACACGAAAAACGTAGTTGTGCCATTCATTGTGTATCGGTAGCCACGTCTAATCAGATTCCTTACTATCAACAGATTAATGCTATGAATTCTGTGTAGTTACACAGAATATATGTTCGGTACGTATTAGTAAATAAAATAGGGGTGACAGGCAGTCTCAATTTGATAAATGTTTCCCTGGGGAAACAGTCGCCAGGATATTATTACGTTACCGAATTTGAAGCAAAAGTACTGTAATAAAACACAATCACTAAATTCAATTATAGGTCGCGTCGTTTATAGTAGTAATATCATAGATTAATAAATGTTGAAAGAAAAATAACAGAATTCTCATTTACAGTAACAATTTCTTCTAAACAGAACCCCTACATTTCAATCACATGTTCACGAAGGTTAACAATGAAAGAAATCACACTATAACGGTGACCTAGTAAGTAATGGGCATTTAAGTACAGTTTCCTCGCAATGACTTTGTACTCTAAAACCATATTTAGAAAAACGTTAAACATTTGTTACATCATACACACAATTGCGTTAGTAACTTTATTGATATAAAATTCAATTGGTATTATAAAAGAAGCCTTTAATTACATTACATTGTGTATATCTGTACCCTGCATTCATGTTCATGTTCTGGGAAATGAGCCGTGTTATTCGCTACAGTGTTCGTTGCGTCGGCGGCGGTGGCGTCGACCGGTTACTGCTGTGGCGTGCCGTTCGTGGACTGCGGTCAAACTGCACACTTACGTCAACAACAACAACGGATACTCAGAGAGAGAGGGAGAGAGAGAGAGTAGAACAAGAATATTTAAGAAGGACTAAGACTTATTTGTGACTCAGCTCATTTGAATTTACAAAACGGAAGTACAAGTTCGTTTCATAATTTGTCCGGGGTAAAACAGCTTTTGACCTAGATTAATCGTTACACAATCCACTATTTACACTGATGAGGCAGACAGGCTTGCAGTTTACAGTTAATTAGGGTATCCACGGCTTCAGTTTGTGTTGGCAAGAGTACTGTACTAAATTCTGGTGTTAATAAATCAAAATGAGCTTTGTACTTACAACTTATTGATAAGTAGCAAGAACACCAACCAACTCCATGGAGTCAACAAAATTTATGGGAACTATGCAATGCATTGTAAAGGGACACTTGAAAGTCTTCTTTATAAAGGGACCTAAAGCTAATCGAAGGGTTTCCCGTACAGTGACGTATGTACGTATGAGTAGACACATGAAGTCCACATGACCGGCGTTTGTGGTACGAGCTCAGGTTACGTTTTGTTTTACTTAGACTGAGCAACAAAAGCAGGAAAGGAAAAGTTGATACTGAACTGAATTAGTATAAAGCACAAAGATTCCAACTGTGGCATTTGTTTGAATGGTCCAATATAAGACACTTATTTGGAAAGCCTGCCAAAAGTGTTGGTCAATTAGTTTCCACTGTATTACTTTATTGAATTCAAGTTTAAGTACTAAGTATATAAATCCTTTAGAATCGAATATCGCTTATTGGTATGTTAGTAGTCGCTGGCTTCGACTAAACGTGCCATAGGTGTGAGTCACGTAACGGAAACGGTTCTTTCGATATTGATGTCTTAGCTTGATGCGTTCCCATGCCATGTTTTACTTTTACGTAAGTAACCAAGCTTTTTACTTTGCGAAGTAAATGAACAACTGTAATATTAAATGCTTTTTATTGCTCTTTAAAAATACAAATCCCTTTATTGACAAACATCTGCGCATCCGAGATACCCGGGCGGAGCACGTATATTAAACTTAGTTGGACGAGCATTTTATTCTTTAAGAAAACTCTTAAAACATCTTTAATGAAACAAGTATTTCGATTCGCTAAATTATAATGCTCTTTTATTTAAAATAAGGACTTTATAAAATTGTGGGTAGTTGTTTATAACAGACCAGTAATAAAGTTAAGAACATAATTCGATTGCAAACATCAAGCAGATAAAAGATGCTGGACCTTTTTAATTAAACACCTTTGCTATCCTTCAAAGTTGTTGCCTGATACACTATCTGTTACATAATTTGTCTAATGATTTCAATGTCCTGATATATAATTTTCTTTTGTCTTTACTATCCTATTTTTAGTTATTTAGGAAAGCAACGTAACACCTTAGTGAAACCACAGGATAAAGTTTAGTGAACTGTACTTGTAGGGTGAATACTCTCCATATTAGACCTGTTAAAATTCATCACCTACCATTAGTTGTCTTGTCGTTAGTACTTAAAAAAGAAATTTTCGCTTTCTAATAAATTATAGAAAATTCAGTGTAGACTGTATCAATGACCTACCTAGTAAAAGTGGCGTATCTTATCAGTTTATCAAAGTAGATATTGGCAAATTAAGATAAACACCAGTTTGGCTAACTGAATGTAATACCAAAATACAACTTTTTGTAGTTAACAAGTCTCTTGCAGTCTCTCTATCGGCAGTTCTGATAAAGCGTTTTATAATTATTTACACTCATATAATATCTACTGAAATGGCACTTATTCCAATAGGGTATAGGTTCTTTATTGTCGATTTATTTCACAAATTGTATCAAACTTCAACCTCACTGTTTAAATTAATGTTACGCCTTAGAACTTAGTGCCGAAGTCAAGGCAAGCGTTATTTTACTTATTCCACCCTTTACTCGTTATTAGATTTAAATAACGACCGATATTCCAGCAGCAGTTCAACTTAAGTTTGTTGGAGAACGTATTAAAAGTTTGTTTGAAAGCGTTTAGCAGGAGTAAATTCAAATGTATGTACAAACATTGTTTTCAATTACAACAAAACTGCCTTCGGAAATATTGTGTCGTTTACATAAACTTAAATCAACAATGGCTCGGGCCACGGGCTAGTTTGTTATTGGAATGTTACAGATGAGTGAATACAGAAAGTAAACGAATTTTTATTCATAGCTCCATAATGTTCATCTCTGCTTCATCGGTACAAATTACACTATTGTGTAACCTATACTTATCTGCGGTAAATGTTTCAGTAAACTTTGAACTGTTCCTGTTTATGGAAAGGCTAATGTACGCTAACTTCAAACCGTCGGTATGATACTCAACACGTGTTGACTGTTGGTAACTGGGTCAGGCCCACTGAAGTCAATCAGGGGCTCAGCAAAAAATAAACAAATTCACTGTATTTTAAAATTGCATCACTGATTGTTTAAAGTATTGAAGTCAATAGACTTTGATTAATACTGAAGTAGATAGATTAGTCTGATAGTTAGGTACTAGACCTACTTTATAAACACTGAGGTCTTACATTATTTTTACTTTCATATCTAGTGGTTTCTAGTTTTGTAGCCTTAAGGACCAAAACCAAACATTCTAAAACTTATTTAACTTAACATTTCGTATCTACATTCTCATTATAAATTCACCAAACGTCCAAAATTTGTTAACATGCTTACACGATTGTCAATGGCTTACCAGCTTATTAGTAGTCCCCGTAGTGCTGGCATAATGTTCAACATTGATACACCAATGTTCTCTATAGACAAAAACGGAAGTCTGAATTTATTAATACTTTTTTCAAACACAAACCAGATCCTAAGGCTTTAGGAACGCAAAAGGCTTACTGAAATTTATACGTGGGCAGTTTAATGATCCCTTTGAGACAATTATTAACGAAAAAGGTCCAGAATTGAGGTCAACGATATGTTACAATAAATGTTGAATAAGTGTCATCTATAAGGATTTTACTAGTATCCACATAAAAAACTGTCTACAACTTTTATTTTCGAACAAAGACTGCAGATACATCGTATTTTCAGAGCTTACTAACACCGATCTGTCAACGGCTTATTCGACGTGTTTACTACCGATTTATTTCTTTTCGTAGTTACCCTAATTGTGGCGCAGTATTTTTATCCATCTGTTTTATCGTGAGTTCCCATTACTATTTCCAACGAGTAATAGGTAGCACCGGTTAAGATATGTTTGTAAGAACATGAATTTATGTGAGCCGGTTATTCTGAATATGGGGAGGTGGTATTTTTGGGAATTTTTTTGTTACGACTTCATATGTACATGAATATTTTGTAACAAAAAAGAAACTAGATCATCTGTAAATGATCATAGAGTTCAATAAGAAATTAAATCGTAATACTTTTCTTGCGCATGTTTGCTGACAGTTTCTTATATTTTGTTCTCAGTTTTTAAAAAACTCAATTAGCCGTCGAGTAATACGTTCTAAAACGAGGCAAGTTGCTTTAATTAAGATGAGCCATCGTGAAATATTTGAAATTACCCGTGGGAGCGTAAAAACTGGGCGTCATCTTTGACAAAGTCTAGCTGGTTAAATTAATATCTTATTTTATGACAAACATTATGTTTTGTGTTCTAAGCGTTGTAATATAAAAGATCTCTACTTTCTTAATTCATGCATGGTTCTCCGCCGACGATTCCCTACCCGTCCGCAGTAGCAATTTTGATGTGGAGATAAATTCCGTCAATGAGCAACACGTCTACCATAACATAGCTCAGGCTGGTTAAATAAATAATGTTTCTTCTATGTTAATGGAGTTTGATTTTAGTTAAGTAAAATTAGCTGTATACTAACACTTAATACTTACACTGGAATAAGTTACCTTCCTAGATATTATTTGTTTTACACAAATCCTGAACAACTTCTTTTTTTTTCCAGTACAAATGCAACCACCTAGGTTTAGCATGCAACCATCATCATCAAATAGTATAGTTCGAGAAGGTACTACAAAAATCTTACAATGCTCTGCAATGGGTAAGTTCATTTACTATGCTTCTTCATTTCATAAGTTGGTGCCTTGCTAATTAGTGTGGTAAATGGGAACTGATGGAATAGCAATAAGTGACCTTATACACTTATTTCATGTAAGAAACCAATTTTCACTGTTTTCTTCGTCAAAATTACCTTGATCTTAAACGATAATATTTGAACATTTTAGGCATACCGCAACCAATGTACAGATGGTTGCGGAATGGGGTACCACTCAGTGATTATTCATCAGAGTTGTTTTATAAGATTCATAATACCCAGCGGCAGGATGCCGGAGCTTACCAGTGTATAGCGAAAAATGATGTCGGAGCAATATTCAGCGAAAAGAACAACATTGTCGTCGCGTGTAAGTAAACTTTCATACATCTCTTTGTATTTTCATGTGTCTTTGTTGTGTAGGCGGAATAATCTCGGTGAAAAATATGTCTCCCGTCCTGGAAACGGTACAGTTTTGTATAAAAAAGAAGTTTCGTCAACTCATAAACATCTAAAAACCCAGTGATGTTTTGTACAAATGTTCGATTAATATCATCGTTGTTTACAGATATGGGTGTTTTTGAACCTGTTGCTGAAACAATAGTAACTGTCGAGTCTGGTAGAGCGGCAGTATTAGCATTTCCTAAGATAGAATCAGAACCACCGCCATCGGTCATATGGCAAGATGAGATTGGTGCTCTGCGATATGACCAAAAATATGCTGTCACCAACAAACATGAACTTGTAATCTTGTGTACTTCACATGAAGATGAGAAGGCGTACAGGTTATACATGCTTTATTTCATTTACATGTTTCATTGTACCCACTCGTGCTCATGCACTGGTTATGTAAACATTTGTTGATTATTTTTGATTGCCGGAAGTTAATTGTGTATAAAATGATAATTTTCAGAGTACGTGCTATAAATACGCAGTTAGGAAAAGAAGAAAACAGCCCATATATACAACTTAACGTTTTTGGCAATGATAGTAAAGAAATACCTCCAGAAATTATCATAAAACCAGAAGACACAAAGATTGTGAAAGGACAAGAATACACAAGTCTATATTGTATTGCAAACGCAAGACCATTACACGAATTAGAAACCTTGTGGTTTAAAGATGGGATTATGATTGATTTGGCTGGGGTTACGTTCGACTTAAATGATCAGTGGAACAGAACGCTCACTCTTATATCAGCGAATTTAACGCACACAGGAAAGTATACATGCCAGGCTAGACTGAAAACTGGAGGGTATGCTACTGTCACGGCTTCCGCTTATGTCACAGTCTTGGAAAAGCCAGTGTTTTTGTCTAATTTAAAATCGGAAACTTTCGGTGAATTCGGAAGTACGATTGTGTTGGACTGTAACGTGCAAGGTATACCATTACCTAGCATCACTTGGTATAAGGATGCTAGAAAAATTGCTAGTGTTGGAGCAGATGCCGAAGAATCTGACAATCCAGACATAGATGACGGCGGTGGAAGATATCGAGTGGAAGTGGATCGTTCTCTCGTCATTAACAACCTTAAAATGGAGGATACTGGAATATACCAGTGCATTGCTAGCAACGAAGCCGGCGAATCTTCCATTTATACGTGGCTCAAGATTAAAAGTAAGTTGGAATACTAAATATAATTTTACAAAACGATGTATTTTATAATTAAATCTGTGCATACCAGACTACAACAATGCATGAGAACTGATGTTTCGTTGTTTAAATTTACAAAAAATATGTAAATTGAGAACATTTTGTGTGATTCGTTCCCGGCGCGTACTGCGAGTCAACTAATCCGTCAAGCTCTGTATGGCTCAGGGTCGTTGTCATATTGAATGTGTGTAAGTAAAATAACAATACTGACTAATTAACGTATGCCACTATCGTGCAGTGAAGGACAATAGGCGGCTTCCACGAAGTCACATGAAGTTAATACGAATGCGGACCTCCGATAAAAAGGCAAAAACGTTCAGATTTGACACCGGCAGTAAGGAATAATTACTTGACATTTTACATTTCTCACATATAGCATAGATGATTTTTCTTTTTCAGCACAGAGTGATGATTGCTTTGAATACCAATGTTTTATTCCCTCGCCTTAGGTGACATTGATTCCTTTATAATATTTAGTTATTTGATTTGTTATTAGATAATTCTGATTTATTAGAAACATTCCTGCATTATGAGATTATATTTTTAATCCTTAGATAGATAACACGTACTTATATTATTTAACGACATAGATATACTATATTTTATATTTGAACACTAATCGGCAATATATTTAGCAATTCAAAATGAATTTAATATATTATTATATGTTCGATTTTATAAGGCACGTAAATAACTAACCCGGGTGAAGGAAACGAAACAACACTACTTTTATGTAGTACCCAGTAGTACCAGTACCTATGGCGCGTGTAAAACGCAAGAATTTAACGCGCATCCTTCTAAAAAATTCATTCATTCCCAGCAAAATTATAGTGGGCCACGGGACACCTGTGCGGTTTACTAAGTGTCGGCGCTCAATATTGACCATTTAAAATTATGGTGTTTACACGTATCCACCATGAAATTAATAAATACCTTTATGATATCGTATTGAATGTTATTTTATCTAAAAGTATTATGATGATGGTTTAAAAAAAAATACAATTTTCATATTTTTTTGATGCATGTTTAAAACCTACTGTCATTTTTAAAGATTGCAGTACTAATGCACATATCAAATTAATAATTATGTTTATGTATGAAGTTAAATTATAGTCGCATGCGCTTTTCACTTTGAGAGAAGGTATCACAGAGTTTTGTGTAATATTTAATCCTAGAAGATTTCGTATATGGAATTAACCCGCTAGTTCGTGTTCTAACTGTGTGCGTGTGGCTTGTAGCGTCCCCGCCCATAATGCAGACTCCGCCGAACAACCTGACCGTGCTCGATGGCAAGGACGCCACCATCACGTGCCGCGCCGTCGGAGCACCCACCCCCAACGTCACCTGGTACTTTAATGGTTAGTAATTAACGACACTTCACAACCCTCCTTTATAACAAGTCCACTGAATATCAACTCTCGTGAAAAATTACTTGTAATTATGTATTTAATCACTCACTGCCAAAATTTACAACAGGTTATAAATATTCTAATTTTTGAAAATGTCAATACTTAACTAATTTAAATATTAATAATACCTATAATTAATGCCAACCGTATCCAATCTTTCTAAGATAAAAGGAAAGAAATGGTTTTAAAATCCGTCTTAAACATGTTAGTAATTCTGTTTGAACAATTTCGTATCTTACAGATTCTTTGATCATAAACTTGTCGGCACGACTGCAAGCACTTGAAGAAGGCGACTTGTTAATTACAAGTACAACGAACGCTGACAGTGGAAAATATACCTGCGTCCGATCCAACGATGCTGGGAATGTATCCGGGGAAGCGTATCTTACTGTACTAGGTACTTACTTCATCAATACTACGTTTTTATTTTATAAATACATAATACCATTTTGTATAAAGAAATTCTCGTTAATAGTCCATTTGTAATATTCCTTTAATCGATAAGTCACCTACAAAATGTTGAGGTAATCGATAAAGATTGCATTTATCAACATGTTGATATCACCAATTTTTATTTCTGATAGATGTAGTCAGCATTATATTGCTATCATGATTGTTATCATGGTGAGATAGATATATTTTTTGTTTTAGCAAATTAGTTAGTGGTAATTAAAGTAGGTTAAGTAAGCCAAAGTTATGAAAAAAGAAGAATAAAACATAAAAGTACCTATAGGTACAGTCTAACACACAGATACTAATAAGTCAATGTCTAAATAAGAAAATGTTATTTCGATGATTTTCAGCTCTCAATCATGTCCAAAACCAGTTTTGGTAAAAGTAGCAATTCTCTATTAAATGAAATGAACAAACAACTTTTTAGACAAAAGCAAAAGAGATGTTTTTTGTTAAACCATTTAGATAATATCTTCAAAATGACGGGAAAAGCTCCTGGGTGCACAAAAGATAACCCTTTTCAACGTCATTTTACTTGATGAAATAGAAAAGTATTTTTCATTAAAGTTTTAGACCGCTTTCGGTAATAGTCGCTTTTTATATCTAGGTAGGTACCTAAACTCATGATTTACAAAAAAAATTGAAGTGTACGATATTTAAAATAAAATAACATCAAGCACCCCTAAATGAAAACAAACTTTTTGTTTCAGTTCGAACACAAATCATAGCTCCACCTGTAGATACACGAGTGTTATTGGGTCACACGGCAACACTACAATGCAAAGTATCGAACGACCCGAATGTGAAGTACAATATTGATTGGTTCCACAACAAACAGTGAGTTGCGAAAAGATTTACATACTTTTATTCTTCGAAATGAAAGTTGATTTCGTTTTAATTTGTATTTTTGTTGTAGACCAATGACAGCTGGTTCTCGGGTGTGGGTATCAGCAGATGGAGCGCTACAAGTGCAGGCCGTGCGCGCCAGTGACGCGGGCGAGTACACGTGTGTAGTGACGTCGCCGGGCGGGAATCACACGCGACATGCTGTGTTGTCCGTCATCGAACTTCCTTTCGCTCCTACAAATGTAAGAGCTGTCAGACTAGATGCCGCATCACAGCGAGCCGTTAACGTATCTTGGACTCCGGGCTTCGATGGAAACTCACCCATACAAAAATTCATTGTACAACGACGTGTTGTTCCCGAATTTGGTAAATATAGACCACCGCCTCCACCTCGCTATTTTAATATCATTATTATTTAACACATTATTGTTTTTTTAATAATACCTTTTGTTATTTTAATAATAGGTCCTACACCTGACCCTTTGCTGAACTGGGTAACGGAGCCGGTGAATGTCTCTGCAAACCAACGTTGGGCTCTACTCACCAGTTTAAAGGCCGCTACATCTTATCAGTTTAGGGTATCTGCCGTAAACACCGTTGGAGAAGGCCCTGCTTCTGATCCTACTGATGTCTTGACATTGCCACAGGAAGGTATGTATACCTAACACACCAAGTAATGCAACTTCACTAATAAACAAAATCTTGATCTTTTACCAAACTAAAGCAAACCAAAAGAGGAAGGGTACAATTTTTTGAGGCCATATAAATGCGGAATTTGACCGGTGCTGGGCAGATAACAATTTTAATAATATGGAATAATTAATGCTTTGTGATATGCTAGTACAAAGCGTAAAGTTATTCGAAATATTTTGGTAACGTCCGCGCGCTGACATGGACGGCTTATAGTTCTGAAACAATACACTTGGGATAGGATTAACACACGAACACGAGGCTATGCAGCCTTGAAATATTTGACATTATAGAATACAGCATACTTATGTTACATATGTTGTGTTCCTATAATTATTTCTTATTGTCTCTGTTATAAAAGCACTATTACATAATTTTCGCACTTACAATAATAAACTCACTATATTGTTTGTTTTACTTTTAATCGTATAATAATGCAATGAAGTTTATATGATTTTCTGTCTCATGAGGTAAGATTGTATCGGTGTTTCATTATTATATTAAATTGTATTCTGTTTGCTATCAAGCAGCCAGTGACCTAATATGCTGCCAAGGTATGCAGACTATTTTAAAAAATTGCATTTGTACGAGTTTGTTTTGAACGCCTTTAATAATTTTAAAATTTCTTAAATTAGTAGTAATTTCATAGTTTTATATTTTAATGTCCTGTCCTGATTTAATTGCTTCAATACATGAAAATGTTTCATATATCTTATTTTGTTCGTTAGATTGCAATACTGTGTACTGTCTGCATGATTTGTCCAAGCTTATTACAAGATTTTTGCCAGTAGTCAACAATATTTTTGATATTAAATTTAATAATTTCCGTTTTGAATTCGTCATGCATGGTTTATAGCATGCATTGTCTTTTTTTATTTTTGGATTGGTTTATAATTAAAATATTAGGTTTTCTCAGTTTTATATATTAAATTATCAATAACGTTAGTAATATTGCATATAACCAGACAAAGATACCACCAGCATCCCAGCATGTGTCAGTGCCAGACTGCGAATTTTTTAACGTAACAATACCCATTTTAATGTCTAAAAATGATCAGCTAATACGATAAATATTTGTGTCTGCAGCCCCATCCGGTCCCCCAGTCGGCTTTATGGGATCAGCGCGGTCGTCTTCAGAGATCATAACACAATGGCAGCCACCTCTAGAGGAGCACAGAAACGGTCACATTTTGGGTTTCGTTATACGATATAGGCTTAGGGGCTATGACAATAGCCCGTGGACCTATCAAAACATCACGAACGAAGCACAAAGAAACTATCTCATTCAGGACTTGATCACTTGGAAAGATTACAACGTACAAATAGCTGCCTACAATGATAAAGGCGTTGGTGTATTTTCCGATAGTTATACGATCAAAACTAAAGAAGGCGTGCCCGAAGCGCCTCCGGATAGTGTTCGCTGCGAGGCGGTTAACTCTACAGTCATAAAGGTTTGGTGGACTCCTCCAAACCCTCAGAAAATTAATGGTATAAACCAGGTTTGTATAAGTTGTCAAAAATTGTATGTCCGTCATGCATAACTGATTATTTCTTGTGGATAAACATTTAATCTTACTTATTATAATTTTCATAGGGTTACAAAATGCAAGCATGGATTTGGGACGAGAATGAAGGGGCTAACGTCGAGCAGAAACTTGTCAGTGTACCTCCCAATCTCTTGGATCCTTTGACTGAACAATCAGCGATCATAACGGGACTTGAAAAGTTTACAATGTACAACATCACGGTTTTATGCTTTACGGAACCCGGCGATGGGCCACGCAGTGAATACGTGCAAGTTAGGACGAATGAAGATAGTAAGCCTACATTTTAGAAGTTATAAATACTTATTTAGGTTTTTTCGTTAATGCATGTTTTATTGCTTAATGTAACACAACTAAATCTGTTTAGAACCCAAAACAAATGAAAAGTGGCTTCTAATGATTATATAATAAGTGGCTTCTAATGATAATATTACACACAATGCTTCACCTGCATTGACTGAACCCGCTGCCTCGTAACGAGAGCTCAGATATTACGATCCCGATTTATGCTTATTGTTAAATGTTGATTAATAATTGTATTTGTATTACATTATTACATTGATAAGATAGTTACATTATTTCGTATGTTTTCAGTTCCAGATGAAATAGGAAGTCTACTTTTTGATGATATATCGGATCGTGCAGTAAGAGTATCTTGGACAGCTCCTAAAAAATCAAATGGTATCTTGGTAGGTTACAAGCTGTCCTATCAGATGAAAGATAGCAATGAGACATTCAAAGAAGAGGTGTTGCCACCAAACGTTACTAGCATTAGAGTGGAGCACTTACAGGTAATTTTCGTTAAATGCACAAATAACTAATAAAAGTTATAAGTATGTCACACACGCCTCGTTTTCCCCAACAAACTAGGCAGAGGTGCACACCGCACATATTATTATTTCTATACACCAAATACCATTATCGACGCGTTTGACAGTTTGACCTTTCACGCAAATATTTATTACTAAGACTTCGCCGTCCGTCTAAACACACAGACGCCGCCAGACTGTATTTCAAGAACCAGGATGTGCATGTGAAAAATGTGTATTTGTAAACGCGCCCAGGATACAGGAGAAAATCGAAGTATGGGAATATTCGGGTTTTCTGTGTACAGGGTGACAAATCTGTTTTTTTTAGGCTAGCACACACTACAGATTCTGGTTATGTGCTATGACGGTGGTAGGCGAGGGGCCGCCGAGGGCCGCAGTGATCCAGTCGGGCGTAGAACCAGTGTTACCTGATGCCCCTCGCAATCTAGCACTCTCCAACATCGAAGCCTTTTCTGTAATGCTGCAGTTCACACACGGATTTGATGGCAATTCCTCTATTTCACTTTGGACAGTACAGGTAAAATTTTAAAACTACTATAACCATTGTTTAGTTTTAAGTTGTATTTCCTGTCAAATATATTAACATTTCATTTATCTACATTGACTTTACTCTTTCTGATTACAATGACCATTCATAACAGGCTCAAACAGCACGCAATTCATCTTGGGTGACTATATTCGAAGTGAACGCGCCGGACGCTCAGTCGATACATGTGACTGGTCTGGTACCATTCACTACGTACAGACTGCGATTAATTGCCACCAACGTGGTGGGCTCGTCACCACCCTCAGAGCCGTGTAAAGAGTTCCAAACTATCCAGGCACCACCACAACATCCACCGAAAAACGTCACTGTACGCGCAGTTAGCGCCACCAACCTACGCGTCAGATGGATTGTAAGACATCAGTATTTCAAGTTAATAATTCTTTTATTATTTTAATAACTGCATTTTATATAAAATGTTTCATGATTCAGCCTCTACAGCAAAGCGAATGGTACGGTAATCCAAAAGGCTACAACATAACGTACACGAAGAGTGATAGTAACGACACATTACACAGCATAATTGAGGACCACACAGCCAACTCACACATACTGTCTAATTTGGAAGAATGGTCGGTGTATGAAATACGAATGACTGCTATAAACGAAGTAGGCACGTCAGCTGCTAGTCCAACTGCTACAGAGAGGACAAGGGAAGCAGGTGAGTTAAAATAATTTACGGAAAGCACACATCCTAAGACTTTATTACATCATTTTGGAATGTTAAAGACAAACCTACACCAGTATAATAATTAATAATTAAAATTATTAATTAAGGTAAAAATTACGTAGAAAATTAAAGTTTAAAGCGCTGTTTTTATAACCTTCATCAAAATGTTACAGTTCCATCTCGAGGTCCCACCGATGTATCAGCTAATGCGACCTCATCAACAACCGTGGTCGTCCTTTGGGGCGACATACCGCCATCAGAACAAAACGGTTTAATTGAAGGATACAAAGTGTGCTACGCGGCGGTAGTGCCACCGCCTAGACCCGAGCAAAAGAAGGTGGAATGCCAAGCCGTGCCATCAAACCAAACTCACACTATAACGCTAACCGAACTGCGGAAATACGTAGTTTATCAAATTCAGGTGTTGGGTTATACCAGGCTAGGAGATGGAGCACTGAGCGACCCTCCGATTACAGTCAGGACTTTTGATGACAGTATGTATTAACATTAAAGATTTAGATTTAATTTTCTAAAAACATATGTCCATGCATACGAACATAACTTCACACCTGTTTCCCATAGGAGTAGGCAGAGGCTATGGAACGCCAATTGCTACGATTCCTACATACCTCTTTCGCTTCATCAACAGTCATCAATCTTTTCATGCATGCTTGTCGGTTAAGCGTATTTTTAATGTGGCCCTTCTTTAATATATCGCCAATCTGGTCAGTATATGTGCATTAATCGATTTGTCTCACTTTCTAGCTCCCGGTCCACCCTCCAACGTATCGTTTCCTGATGTGACATTCACGACCGCGCGCATCATCTGGGATGTACCAGAGGACCCCAATGGAGAAATACTAGCGTACAAAGTCACATACCATCTAAACAGCTCCACGCAACACGTGTTCTCTAGAGAATTCTTGCCTTCGGATCGAACGTTCAGGTATTTAACAACGCGAACGAAACGTATCTAATTTTAAGTGGTTTGATCCAGTATCAATGAAACGTTCCAATTAGTAATTCGAGGGTGTAACAAATAAAGCAGAGACAGGTGTATTCCGATCTGTGGACACAGGTAATGATCAAATCCTCGTATGTGTGTAGGGCGACGGAGTTGGTGTCGGAGCGATACTACCAGTTCGCGGTGCGCGCGCAGACGCGGCTGGGCTGGGGCGCCACGGCGCGCGCGCTCGTGCTGACCACGGCCAACCGCGCCGCGCCGCAGCCGCCCGCCAGGCCCAACGTGGCGCGCTCTCTGCTGCAGCCCCATCACATCACCTTCTCCTGGACCCCCGGGGACGACGGCTACGCACCGCTCAGGTAACTATGGATGGCCCCAACGATCTTGTTATTACTGATATAACCTCGATTACCCGGTTCGACCGAAGTGATATCACCGTCTCAGAAAATCGTTGTGAAACAACACATGCGTGAGGTTTCCGTAGATCCAACCCTTATCCCATTCCCAATCCCTTAAGGCCGACAACACTTCTAGCTCTTCTGGTGCTGTGGGTGTGTCTGGGGTCCAACCCCATGCTAAAAAAGGTAACTCCAGCTATAATAAATTTAGTATAAAATCAATATTTTTATTAAAATTAATTACAGATACTACACTGTACAACAAAAAGAAGATGGAGGGACATGGCAAACAATTCCCGAGCGTGTGGATCCCTTCGTGACGTCATATACTGCTGAGGGTTTGAAACCATTTACGGCGTATCAGTTCCGAATCCGCGCGACCAATGACATCGGGCCGAGTCGGTACAGTAACGCGACTGAAACTGTTCGAACATTACCTGCTGGTAAGTATTTTAAAATTACGACACAGCTTTCTGCTGTCCTTCTGCTTCTTTAAAATTACGCAACGGATTTTCTTACGGTTTTTAATAGATTCCAAGAGGAATGTTTATAATCTATATATATAAAAGAAAGTAGTGTTAGTTACACCACTTATAACTCAAGAACGGCAGAATAGATTTGGCTGAAAATTGGTAGGGAGGTAGCTTAGAGCCAGGAGACCGACATAGGATACTTTTTAGCCAAAACTTTTTCCGAAAATCACGAACGGGGACGGGAAAAAATGGGATGGTACGCGTACGAAGTCGCGGGCAGAAGCTAGTTATTTATAATTAGCTTGAACCAGTGGCTTCGAGTACGTTCCCATGTTCTAGATTTCATTGTAATCCCTTTAATAGCCGTTTTAACATGATTGATTAACGAACATTTACACAAAGTAACTCACCAACTTTATTCGTCATTTTTGTTGTCATGTATAGTTCCCTAAGATCGGAAAAGGAGGATCCTCCGACCAGGCGAGGTGATCGTGCCTGGCGGGCTTTCTGCCCAACAGTTGTTCGTTGGGATTTTCTATCCGTGTTTATTCGCTTGTAAACTTTGCATGTGCGATGTAGGAATCTTGTGACGTCATCCGCTGACATGTGGCATGCGTCGCCACATCACTCCCTCCCAAGACCGGAGGTCGATCCTGCTGAGACGGCTGTCGATGCTTGAGATGAGTGGCGCCAGAGCCAGTGTAGAACGTCCCTAGTTCCAGTGGGTCGGAACCGTGCCGCTGAGTGCCCAGTGAGTCGGGTCAGCGGTGCAGGGTGAAACTCCAGTGAGTCGGAGAGATGAGTTCGCAGTGTCCCACGGTGAGTCGGGGAAGAGATGCTGCGAGGGTAGGTGCGTAGTGGCCGGCATCTGCGTTGACGGGAGGAGGTGTCCTTCAGACCGTGTGCAGAAGTGCTGTGCCTAGACGCTGGTGAGGCCGTAGGGAAGAACCAGGCTGCACAACTTCGTTGCAGGTAATCGTGGTCCCTGATGAGGCCGAGGATGCTGGTTGGCTGCGACTTGATTACCGCTCAGCGGAGAAGTGATGAATGAGAGGGATGGCGATACGGATGACGGTGCTGATCTGCTCCGTGAAGTGAAGGTTGTTTCCAATCACGTCGGGGTCACCACTTTAGGGAACAGAGTGTATAGTTCCCTAAGATCGGAAAAGGAGGATCCTCCGACCAGGCGAGGTGATCGTGCCTGGCGGGCTTTCTGCCCAACAGTTGTTCGTTGGGATTTTCTATCCGTGTTTATTCGCTTGTAAACTTTGCATGTGCGATGTAGGAATCTTGTGACGTCATCCGCTGACATGTGGCATGCGTCGCCACAGTCAATTTGATGTTCATTACTAAATTTTTAAGAGTTAATGTTAACACGAAATGTGTATGTCTAATGTATTGACACGTTGTTTCGATAGCACCGAGTAAAGCAGTTGAGAACCTGCACGTGGTGCCAATAACCCCGAACAGCGTGCGCGTGCAGTGGTCCCCGCTGGGCGACGCGCACTGGAGCGGCGACACGCGCTCGGGCGGGTACCGCGTCCGGTACCAGCCGCTCACTGACTTCCCCACCGCGCTGCAGCACGTCATGAAGCAGGACGTGCCTGGCACCAAGGTCCGGCTCACCTTTCATTTCTTACATTTAATTTTTTCCACGACCAGGTCCAAATCTGTTATATCGGAACCGCTTAAATGAATAAATCTCAAAACTCGTGAACAGTGAGACCAAATTTTGCTCATTCCTTTTTTTCCGTATTTATTATGGTTAGTTATTTTTTGTATGAAATATTATTATAATATTCACATAGAATATACAAGAAATTCAAAAAAAGATTAATTATAATAACGTATGTATGTAATGTATGTGTTTATAACGTTTGCAGAGCGAGGAAGTAGTCCTAACGGACTTGGCAGTGGACCGCAATTACGAGATCAGCGTGTGCGCGGTGAACTCGCAGGGCGCGGGCCCGAGCGGCACGCCGGGCGTGGTGTGGGTGGGCGAGGCCGTGCCCACGGCGGCGCCGGCGCACACGCGCGCGCGCGCGCTGTCGCCCACCGAGGTGGCGCTGGCCTGGGCGCCGCCCGCGCCCGCGCATCACAACGGGGACCTGCTCGGGTACAAGGTGCGCTCTCCTACACCGTGAGCTTACTATGTATATTATAATACCCGACACGATCTGTAGCCAGATTTTTCGTGGTAGTACCTTCCTACATTCTTGACGCCAAATGATGGCAATAAGCATAACCATAAAATAATAAAGAAACACACAATTTGCCTATGCGAACTGACCCCAAAAATCTGAACATAGCTTATGAAGGGGACTACAACTTTCCCTACACTACTTTGGAATATCATTACGACACGTATAATAAACTCTTCCTTTTTTTCTCGATAGATCTTCTACCTAGTGACCGATTCTCCTGAAGAGCCGGAACCAGGCCGACGTATAGAGGAAGAGATCGAAGTGGTACCTGCTACAGCTACTTCACATTCACTCGTCTTCCTTGACAAGTATACCCAATATAAAATACAGGTGTGTATCATGTTATATGAAATAAATTTAATTTAAAGACTTGTTTAAAAACAAGCTTTTAGGCAGCTAAGCATTTATGGGCAAGCGGATTATGTAAAATTAACCAAAAACCGCGGGTTACTCACGTGAAAATACTGAGAAAAGCTCTACTAGTAAGAACCCAGAGGGATTCGAAACTACTGACTAACCCGCGATTTTTAGTTAATGTATTTGCGAACTTTATACACACACTGCAAGTTTAGGAAAAGTTTGTAATATACAAACATTATTTAAGTTAAACATTATATAGTAAGTATCTGCTATTGTTTGATTAATTAAAGGTTTTAATACTTGTTTATTATATTATTCATGCAGGTGCTTGCGTTCAATGCTGCCGGAGATGGTCCTCGTTCAACTGCAGTGATGGTCCGTACCTTGCAAGGTCTTCCGTCGGCTCCGCGCAATATAACGTTCACAGACATTACAATGAACAGTCTCGTCGTGTCGTGGGACCCGCCCTATCGTCGCAATGGCATAATTCAAGCATATCTCGTAACTTATGAAACTATAGAACAGGATGAACGTAAGTTTTTTAGTGCAATCAGTTTCAAATCATCCATTTTTTAAATTTGCGATTGAGTGAGTCCCGTCCCGTAAAGATGTGGGAAGAGTCGTCATGGGAATGGTTTGCGTGGTTTGGGAAATGTTTAAGGGTTTGAAACCTGGCAAGTACCAATCGGGTTTTATCTGAGTTAACTTTTTAGTATTATTTTGGACCCCAGTGACTAATTATCCTGAAGGAATAACATCGTGATATAGCCTTACAATTTCTAAATGTAAGTTTGAAATAGCCAATCCGCCTTGAGCAAGCGTGATGATTAATGCGCATACTTTCTCCCTATGAAAAGAGACCTTTGCTCAGCATTAGGCACTTATAGGCCGTTCATGATAACGAATGTTTCACGTGGGACAGGTTTCAGCAAGCAAGTGAAGCAAAAAGTGACAGAGCGACGGCTGGCGGTAGGCGGGCTGGAGGAGGAAGTGGAGTACCGGTTCAGCGTGCGCGGCGTCACCGACGGCGGCGGCGCCGGCGCTGCGGCCGACGCGCGCGTGCGCACCGGGCCGCAGCCTGGCTCGCCGGCCCCGCCGCGCGCGCTGCTGTTGCAGCCCGAGCCGGCCGCGCTGCGCCTGCGCTGGCTCAATGCGCCGCCGCCCGCCGCGCCCGCCTCGTCCTCAACCTCGCCGCTCGCCGCACCTGTACTAGGATACTACTTTGAGGCGCGCCGCAAAGGTCTGTTCGCACTTCTACTACTTCATTAAACATATTAACGTAATATCGTTCGTGGATCCTTCGACCTATCCTAAAATTCTACATGGTGCTATTTTTTCTAGTTGACAAATAATTATTTTGATTTTATATTTTGTATGTGACGTATATATTAATATTATGTTTTAATGCAGCCAAGGAATCGTGGCAAGCCTGTAAGTTTTTGTCATTATCTGCATCTTGTAAAAGTAACCTGACCTGAACTAATAATACCCGTAAGCATAAATCACACCATGTTTTTTTATGCCATAATATGTAAAAAGCACTTATTATTTGCATCTAGGTATGTATATTTATATAAAAATAAGCCATTTTAACCTTTAATACTTTCTTTCCTTACATATGCAGATGACACGAGATGGGAAACTATCACCAGAACCAGCAATGGAATGTTAGAAGAGTTCACTATATCATACCAAAGTCTTCTACCATCAACGGCGTACTCATTCCGGGTGATAGCTTACAATATGTATGGAATCAGCAATCCAACGTACAGCGACAAAGTCATCGTCACACCGTCAAAGTTATACTTAGAGTATGGATATTTACAATATCGGCCATTCTATAGACGCACTTGGTTCATGGTCGCGCTAGCAGCTGCGTCAGTTATCATCATAATAATGGTCATTGCAATTCTATGTGTGAAAAGCAAGAGTTACAAATACAAAAGTAAGTTTCTTTACCACATATTACCACTATTCATATGTGTGTTTACTTACGGGATTGACAGAAATCGGTGAGTAAAAATGAATGCCTATGACAATGTCCGTGTTTTCAGAAGAAGCGCAAAAAACTCTGGAGGAGTCTCTAGCGGGAGAGACCTCGGAGCGTGGCACGCTGGCCATGGAGCTTTACCGAGGGCGCCAGAACTCGTGCGGCAGTGCCGGTGCCGGCGCCACGCTGCGGCGCGGGGCCGCGCTACCCAAGTCCCCGCCGCGGCCGGCGCCCGGCTCCGTGGCCTACCACAGCGACGAGGAGAGCCTGCGCGCCTACGACGAGAACCCTGACGACTCCTCGCTTACCGAGAAACCTTCGGAGATGAGTTCGTCCGACTCCCAGGTTATTACTATAAAAATCAGTGTTGTTTAAACCCGCGCTTAACGTCTACACTCTCACTAAATGACCCCCTTATTTTTTCTCCATCACTCCCTGGAGCGCGTTACGGTAAATATCGACGACTGAGATCTCGCTACAGCTATCGTTATCATTTTAAACACGCTTTCGACGAATTCAGCACGTAGTAGTATTTTTGTTGGGTTGAATTTCGTAGGTTAGGCTTAGCGGCATTTTAGTTTATAAGATATTTTCAGTAGAATAATGTTATAAAAAATAACACTCTTATTAAATTATCTTTAAACATCTCAGAACTGGTTTTTAAACATTTTACTAGAAATGAGACAGTCAATAACAAATTAAAGATAAATGATCAGTATGATATTCTACTAATATTGCTGTGTTCTTGTGTATGATTTGAAAAAATATCTTGATACTTGATTTAATTGAAATATTTTTAAAATACGTTAGAACTTGTTTTGTTTTTGATTTCTCATTTCATAATGAAAACTTTAAATAATGATGTATGTTCTCATCATATAAATAAATCTGCAAATACATACTAGACCGGATTCCGCTAATTGATAGAATAAATAATGAATTTATATTTATTTTCCGCAGAATTCGGAAAGTGAAAACGAGAGTGTAAGATCGGAGCCACATAGTTTTGTAAACCACTACGCTAACGTAAATGATACGTTACGTCAATCGTGGAAGAGGCAGAGACCGGTGAGGAACTACTCAAGTTACACGGACTCGGAGCCAGAAGGCAGCGCCGTGGTCAGTCTAAACGGCGGGCAAATCGTCATGAACAACATGGCGCGCTCGCGAGCTCCGCTGCCAGGCTTCTCCTCGTTCGTATGACAGGAGCCCGCCAGCACGGCACCCGCCGAAGCCGTGCACATGTAACATTACACTGCCCATTCCCAATTATTTTAATTTAATTTAATGTTAGCTATTGCAATTATTGTACATATCGAATATAATCTATAAGCTTTAACTAAATTGGTAGAAAATCTGTAATAAAATTATGATGTTTCAGATTACGTATTAAGAAGTTTTAAATTATATATTCGTATAAAAGTAAATTTAAATTATGTACACTTAACGTTCATACTGTTGCAGTTTTCAATCATAAACATGTAAAAAATAATTTGGATATTATATTAATATTTAATGCCATACCACAAATTAGAAATTGAGTAAGAAGCACATAAAACTGTTGTTAAGTAACGAGCTATTTTCGACGAATGGCAGCTACCATCAGCATTTAGTTAAAAATAATATATTGAGATCTCGTTTATTTAATCTGCAATTGAATAGTAACATTATAATATTGTAAGGTAAGCAGGCAGCTACATTTCTAGAGCATTCAACCAAAATTGCTTTTTGTGAAATACATAATGAAGGATGATAGTTAAAACTGAATAGTGTTTATTGTAAAATTAAATTTGAATAGTGAGGTATGTTTGATACTCTTGTAGCATACAAGTTTGTAGTCTGCAGTGAAAAAGTTACTTTGATGTGGATGCACATGCTCCTTTTGTTATATTGTTGTTAAAAGTAATTACATTACTCTGGCTATTGGCGGAGAATGTTCAAGTGGTTAGACTTTGCGTATGTACTTATTATTATTATGTTTATTAGACATTATTTTTTCATGCAAATTGTTTTCCGTCAACCGCTCCGTTTATAAATAAAAAACGTATTAAACAATTTAATAAATAAATATCTTTTCTAGTTCTAGGGTAAAAAATATCCAAAAAAACTTATTTGAATCCTCATATTTTTCTTGTGGCTGATTCGCCAACATTAATATTAATTACTCTATCCGAAAAACCTTTTATACCTCTTATAGTACTACGTCGGCTGTTCTCCACAACACTAATCAATATGCAAGTCAGCCAGTATATATTAACTATCTGAATTTAAGTAAAATAAATAATCAAGTTTATATGTATTATTATTAGTGTAATAATACTACTTGGCCGTTATTGAAATGGAACATTTTATCATACTTAAAGTATTTTTAATTAAAACTATTGTTTAATCAGTATTGATTAGTATCTAGTTTATACTCTGTAACTCCAATGTCAAGTGACTCGTCTAATAGACCAATAAGCACATTAGTTATTTAGCATTTTATAATATTTTTTATAATTAATATGCAATTGACTGATAGATTTAGTGTCTAATCCTTTACATGTGTACATATATTTTAATGGTGACAAAAATCACTCGGTATTTATTCAAAAACATTTGGCACAATAATTTCCCTAAAACAACCTATGATTTATATATGTATTTTAAATTATAACTTATAAAATATATATTACTTGGAAACAAATAAACTGTTATGAAAATGATTATCAAAAAGATAAATTACTCTTTAGAAAAAGATGATGTTGATATGACTATAATTTTTTTGTTAATTTTAAATATTAGATGACGCATGGTTTCATAATTTAGCGGCATCACTTGCAAATCGAAAACGATTATCATTATGTACATACAAAACAATAAGATCCGATTAAGGTGTGCCATGAATTCAAAGACTAAACCAACTTTGTCAATAGTTGTATCCTAGGACATAAATATTTTTTTTATTTACTTATTAAATAGAATTAATTGAATCCTAAACTGTATTTATTTTTGCTCCTTGATTTATCACACTAAAGCTGTTGATTTACCAATGCTAAAAACGGGAATCAGCTACTGCTTATATCTTCTTTAGACAGTTGAAACTGTAAGAAATAATTTCAAAATCAGTCTTCCCATTCCTAAAAGACAAGGGTTAGCAGCAAATTGGCAAGAAAAAGTCAAGTAAGTGTCAAATGCTATTTATTCGGATAAAGACATACATATATTACCATTTAAATTTATAAAAATAACTTGTTAGTTTTTTCAAACCAGGTTTTTGAAATATAATTAGGTACATTTTTCCATTGCTTAATGACATTGTAAGCAGCTACATCTACAATAGAAAATTCATTGCCATTTATCCAGCTCTTTTCATTTGCAAATAATTTCTTGACAAGTGCTTCTTTGTTCTTATCTGATGCTCTCTCCAAAACATGGCAGATATCAAGCAATGTTTCTACCTGATGATCATTATCATTGTAAGGTATTACACTTGGATAAACATAAGAAAGGTAGCGTAATATGTTGACATTGCCTACAATAGGCACATCCAAGGTAGAGATCTTCAACTCTGTATCAGCCAAAACTGTTAAATAAAAACAGTACCAAATTACTTATTGTTGTAGTTCATTATAAATAATTACTATTTATTTGTATCAAATACACTTGAAAAACATACCACATTTAAATATCAGCCTCAAATTAATTGTAGAATTACTCTTAGTTTCTTGTAGATTTTTAACATAGTTTGTAATTTTAGCTACTTTTTCATTAGGCACAGAAGAGTGAATATGCCATGAAATGTTCAAATCCATGGGCTTTTTTAAAATAAGATTTAGATACCAGGGCAAACTGTCTGGGCTGAGAACCAAGACAACCTCTTCTGGTGTAGGTAGCTGAAATAAAAAAAGTATTTACTTATTTGAATAGAGTAGTATAGCAATTTTGATACTTAACAGTGTTTTCCTTTAACCCGTGTTGTCTAAATGCAGATCTACAGCAGACACAATATATTTTCTGTTGTGTCTCATATGTATACTGGTGGCATAGAAGAGGTTTCGATTGGTTTTATCTTTTTTTATTATACATTTAACTCGTCGAGTACCGGTTTTATAGACACAATTAAAGAACAATAGGTCGCGGTCACCGGTAACCGCTTGGTGTTTGACAGTTTAAATAAACTTACACATTTTTCTGGTTTACTCATTTTAGTTTCTTGAATGTTGTCCACTTTACAGTAGGAACTAATTGTCTTAATTCTATCATAGAGAGTATCCAATTTTTTTAATAACTGTTCTTGGCGTTGCTCCAACTCCGACATTTTATTTGATCCCTGTAAAGATAAACATTTTTACCAGAACTAGTTTACATTTAAGTAAATAAATCTCCAGATTTATTAAAATTAAATTACTTTAAATAGGTACTAGGTGATATGTGATAGATATGATGACCGTCATCATAGCATTACAATACAGACATTTTTAATGAAGAAATTTGATTTTATTAATTTATTAATGTTATAGAATGCATACTATTCTATAACCTACATAAATAGTAATGTATAATGTAATGTTAGCAAGCTATGACCTATGCATAATATAATAATGTTAATTTAATAATTTTAGTGACAAAAACCTTAAGAAACTTGATAACCTGGGCACTGATACCGATGTCGCTATCGCTATAATCTTCTTGGAAAAAGTCTGTGCGATATTTTACGGAATACATGCAGTTCGGCAAAAAGATTTCTTTATCATGATCAATTATTTTCTTCATCTGATACATCATGTTCCAAATATGTGTGGTATGTATAAGGCACTATAAATTATTATTTTATGATATTATTCTTACTAACCCAACAATCAAGATAATTAACTACAATTTAAGGATTGAGTTTATTCAGATTCAGCCACGTTCTGCATTGTTCGCGGTTCGTTCGATTCGATCGATAGTCTATTAATGACAATGACATTTGATTTGATTTGACATGACAACGACAGTTTGACGTATTCATTCATAGTGAAGGATCATGAAGGAACAGCATACTGATGTTAGTAGACGTATTAGACACTTAGAAGTAAGCAGAGGTATATGTAATAGGTATAACGTCCTTGAGTGTACACAAGTGTAATGTTGGTGGAGTAATAATATTCCAAATATCAGCGATATTCATTTAATATTGATTACAATATGATTGAATAAGCAAACAACAATCCATACAAAGGATGTTAAAAAAAGCTTGTCTACCCTATACTTATTACACTCTTTGCCCTGATCTGATCCCTTGAATAAACAATTATCCAAAAATAGTACCTCCTCTTTTTAAACTCGATAAAATAACAAACATCCACCACAGTTACCACAGATACGATACTAGCGACCCTAATTATTCTAAACTCTTTTTGAGTGTTTTATAATGTTATTCTTTCAAAGTATTAATTAACAAAACATAATAATCATATTTATAATTCACCCTCATGAGAGGAATTCGTGTTTGGTTCTGGTCCTATAGTCAAACTGTTCATAATGATGAGAACAGTCAGTACCAACTTGTCTATTTCATCCTTGATTTTAAAATAAAAATAAATGAGGGCGCCACAGTCATTCACACAGCAACATGAACCCTCTTCATCCTTAAGCTTAGCAATAACAATCACGCCATGGTTGTTATTGGCAAAAGTTCTTGGCTGTACTTGGGCTAAACAAATTTTTTTTATCGTTTTCATCTCAGCAGGAGTGTGTCAATATAGCTGTCTGTCTGAGAAAAGTCTAATAAAGACGATTCTTTGTTTGGAATCTTTATTTGATTTGCAACATTGTGACTTTTGTCATTGTTTATGGTAGGAAACCGAATTTTTGTTTGTCAAGTTTCACAAAATCAATGTGTACCATAGACATTTTTCTGTTTATTGTTCACATCCGTTTCAATTGTTTGACTAAATAAATAAGATATATAAATATATTTAATGCAATAATATTATAAATAGTTTAAACTATTTTTAAAACGAATTCAGTACTAAAAATATAAAAATATTGAAGTTTAATTTTAAGAGATAGTTAAGTGAGTCGTCTCGTCGAATCGTTTCGAAAGAAAGAAAATGGCTGCCGATGTGTTCTGTGCGGCAACTACCACTCCTTTCCGTGATAGCTTTCGATAAATTATTCTGTAAAATAGCCCCAATATTTTATATTTTCGAATATGAATTATTGCTCGTGTATCAGTTATCTTCAAGGAGAGAGTTAATTATTAACATTATAAATTCAATACCCACAAGTTATGAAAACGACATGGCGGACTGATAATCAACCAATGGGAAGCCAGCATCAAGCGTTTCAGAATTGCATGTACTCGCATTTCGCGTCATTACGTTTTCGGTGCCTTCTTTCTCCTATAAAATTTGTAGGTAATCTTTTGATATCAGTGAGTTGATTGATTTCTCAGTTTATTGCCTAAAAGACAGTGTGAATATTGTGTTTAAAATTGTTATGAGACGATCTTTTAATGTGAAGCATCCCGACGGCTGGGATCATGACTGCGTTGGATTTAGGATGAACTGAAATGCAATACCATCTTTTTGTTTTTGTAAACAAGACTATGTTTTTACGATACACGTGCGAGACTGTATACAATTGACAGTTGTTGTTTTCAATTATGTCGGGAAGGGGGGCAAAGAAACGCGGAAGGCCCCCAAAATCAGGGAGTTTCGAGAAAAGTAGGAAATTCCAGTATCATTTGTTGAAAAAACCGAAATATTTACTAAATCAACAAAATGCGGGATCTACTTCTTTGGTTAGTACTCCATCAGCATCAAGAGCATCATCACCACAAGGAAGTGATATAAGTAGACGAAGTACACGAAAACAACGAGGAGGCAAAACACACAAAAATAAAAGAGGTGGAATATCAGGCTCGTATTCCCGGAGAGGATATAATCCGCACGCAGCGGATTACCATGAATCGGAATATCATTATGGATCTGATTTTGGTGATGAATATAGTGATAGATCGGAACCCGAAGAAGATCGCGGTTCGGAAAGCTCTGACGGCACTGTCGGAGACGGTGCCGCAAGTGATAGTGATTTCTCTGTCAGCAGTTACAGCACTACTAGTGGTACTCCTCGTAAGGTTAATAATTTACTCAGACCACCAAGCCCAGATCCTCTGTGGCTTCAACAAGAACGACAAATCCCATCCTTAGAGCTTCCTGCTTCATCAGATGATCTGCTTATTCCACAAAACTTAATCTTGCAAGTAGTTGGTGTTTATGAAGTGTTGAGGCACTTTAGACATCTTGTACGATTATCACCATTTCGCATAGAAGATTTATGTGCAGCTATAAGTTGTGAGGAGCAGAGCAATCTACTTGTTGAAGTGCATATGATGCTACTGAAAGCTTTATTAAGAGAAGAAGATGCTCAACAAACACATTTCGGTCCTCTGGACCATAAAGACAGTGTTAATATTACTTTGTTTTTACTAGATGTCATGACATGGCCTGAAGTCCTTAGAATTTACATAGAAAGTGATAAATCATTTGATCAGAATGTTGTAAGAATTTTAAATGCATGTGAATATCCATTTACAACAGTGGATGAACGTCTGGCTGTTCTTCAATTCTTATGCAATCAATTTTTAATAACAAATCCAGTCCGTGATGATCTCCTCAGTGAAGGTAAGTTTTTAATATTTTTTAACAATACAATTTTACTTCTAATTCTATAATTCTATTCATTAATAGAATAAAACTAGTTTATACAAGTAGTGACCATTATTTCATGAATTATGGATCTCATTTAATAAACCTCATAGTGATGGTTTAGTGGCTATACTATTCCATAATGACATTTAAATTATCTGTACTACCTACAATTCAATATCTACTAGGTTTTAAATTAAATATCAAGTCATAAGTCTTTATAACCAAAATGTGAAATTTGTATGAAGTCGTAAACTTTTTTCACCATTGTCTTTATATACACCACAAAATGTTCATGTTTGTCAGACAAAGATCTAGTGAAACAAGTGAATTTATTTCTGCAAAGAATCTTTGTTCCGTAGTGGACATCTCTTAGCAAATATATATTTTTTCACATTTTAAATTATTATTACTTAAAGATAAAATTTGAGGTAGAAGCACCTTATTACATATATTTATGTTAAATCTTCTCAACTCAATGTAACTTAAGTCTCAAGTCTTGAGGTGTTTGTCAACAAATTAGTCAGTATAGAGAATATTTTATGTATTTTACAGTTCCTATACATTATGATGATCATTGCCGTGTATGCCATCGTCTGGGTGATCTTCTATGTTGTGAAACATGTCCAGCTGTATTTCACTTGGAGTGTGTAGATCCCCCATTGGGTGATGTGCCATCTGAAGACTGGCAATGTGCTCTATGTAAACAACACAAAACAATGGGTGTCACAGATTGCCTCCCAGATGCTGAAAAACAAGGGCTAATGTGTAGACATGAGCATTTGGGCTTTGACAGGCATGGAAGAAAATATTGGTTTATAGCTCGAAGAATTTTTGTGTAAGTATTGCTTTCTTGTAACTTTTTTTTTATTTAAATTATTTTGTGATACAAAGTAAACTTTTTTTACCAACACACAAATGCTACTCGTACAGAAACTGATAATCTTTAATGAAATTTTAGGGAAGCTGAAAATGGTGATGTTTGGTATTATTCATCTTCTCAGCAATTTGAGGAGCTATTAAATGTATTAGACTCTGATGAAATGGAGGCTCCATTAGTTAGAGAGCTATTAGAAATGAAACAGGAAATCTTGAGACAAATGGATATCACAGAGCGTCTTACTAATCAAGTAAAGGGAAACCGAAAGTCGTATTTAGAGATTGAAAATGCTAACATAGTCAAACAGCGAAAATTGAAAGAAGAACTGAAACGACAAGATCGTAATCCTGAACTGAAATTAGATGATGAAAAGATGGATAATGTATCATCTTTAGTTGGTGATGGCGATGTTGTGAATGAAGTGACTGTTGTCAGTGAAGACACAACCCATGAAGATAATGACAATGAATCTACTGAAGATGATGAAAGTAAAAAAATAAAATCCAATAAAGTTAAACTACCGCTTCAAAAGAAGCATGAAGAAGGTATAGTATATACAAAACATAATACAACTATTATCTTAATTTTCGTGTTACTACAACAGTAGGCAAAATGTTTCTAGAGGGCTATGCCATTTTGAAACTACTTAAGATAGTTTACTTCCAATTCGTGTAAATAACTTAAATACATTGTGAAATGTGTAAATTATACAGCCCAATTTTATTAATATGTACTATATTAAACTAGTTCCAAGGTATAGGAAATCGAAAATTAATACCTTTTTTGTGATTTACTTTACAGTGACCGAACGATTAACAAGACTAAAATCAAATCAGATCTCCAATGGAACTTACTTGTTTAAACTAGGAAACGAAAATAGTTTTAAAAATTATATAAACCAGTACTCTGCAAATCCTTTGGCATTAAACAAACCACAGAGAAATGAAGAGAGGGATAAGAAACGTTATATGTCCCATAAGTTTTCTTTATCTTCAGCCCAAGAATTTAAGTGGGTTGGCTTGCTAAACGGTAAGTTTTAAAATTGACATTTATCTCTTCATATAATTTTTGTATTGCAAAATATAAAAAGTTTCTTTATGTAATCTGTTTTCAGCTACAAAACCATTACTAGAGGCTACACTTAGACAAACCTTATTACAATTAGAATCAAATATAGTATTACAATTCATGCACCCAAACTGGTCCCTTTTGAGAAAACCATGGGTACAAGCTGTACAACTTTGTCAAGCTCCACGGGACTTCGCTAGAGCACTGTGTGTGCTTCAGGTAACTAATTATTTGTTAAAAATTATTAATCAAATATAGTTTCTACTTTTTATTAATTTGTCATTGTTCTTATGTATATTTGTTAACAGGCATGCATTAAAAGTGTGGTTTGGGTGCCAGCATGGCATGAACAACTAGGTCACGTAAGGTTAATACGTACAACTGCCACTGAAAGAGAGGAACGCAAAAAATTAGACAAAAGAGAAAAAAAGGAAAGAGATGAAGAAGAAGAGCGATACAGGACTGCCTACAATTTTGTCAAGTATTCTCTGGGATTGCGTCATCAGGTACAGTTTTATTATACTTCTGCCTTACAATTTTATGGTATGAGTGATATATTTTAGAGTATGAGTAAGTTCCTCGATAAACATACTATCCAGTGCAAAAAGAAGTTTATTAAAACCAGCAGCTTGCTTTATAATATTAGATATTATTAAATAATTTAAAACTTTATTGTTTTTAGGTATGGAAACAAAAAGGAGAAGAGTACAGAATTCATGGACAATGGGGATGGTTATGGAATTCATCCACCAGAAAATATAAAAAACATGTTAATGCGAAAGCTTGTCTTTTGAATGGTCCAGCCAAGATAGCCGTGCGAGTTAGAGAAGGCAGTATTATTAAAGTTTTAGCAGTTGAACCAAAAACATATGATTACCTGATATCTAAGGAAGGTGAAAATAAGGATGTAATGGAAAAATGTATGTACATAAAATATTATAATATTATTATTATTTGAATATTTTTTAACTTTTAAATTCATTTTAATTTAACACAAAATAAATAACTATTATTATTTTTCAGTGCCGCCGTCAATGCGCAATTTAAAGGTTGATAAAGATGAAGATGGTTTTGAAGAAATAGATGTTGAAAAAGCACTAAGTTCATCAACTCGAAGGTATTACCCAAAAATTGCACGAAAATCTAAATTAGACGAATTTTTGGCTCGTCGAACATACTTAAAATTTATGGAAGAGAAGAAATTAGCTAACTTATTAGCCAACGTAAAAAAGGAAGACCCGGAAGTCAAAAGTGAAGATGACAAAAACATCGACGTAGAGAATGATGATCCAGAACCTGATATATCAACCATTTGTGGAACAGTCGGTGGAAGCAATAAGAAAGATGGAAGTAATAAAGAAAATGTTGATGCACTCAGAGATGAATATCAAAAAATTTCACAACTAACAAAAAGATATCAGTGTTATTCTCATTTTTGTGTCAAATTTGATTCATCAACTATTTTACAAAGCTCTGGAGTTAAAACTAATTGTTATTCACCTCTTTGCATTAAAAAGGCGAAACTTTTAAGTAAATTAGTGTCTCTGTTAAAAGGTGGAGCAGTAAATTCAAACAACTTACTTGGTAATTCTAAGGATAATACAAAAATGTCAATCTTGGAACAATATTTACTAGGTAAAAGTTCATCCTGTACAAACTCAAATGAAAATATATTAACTGACTTACTATCAGCTGTGGCATGCGCTCAGGAGTGCGATAATAAAAGTAGTGATTCCTATGTTAAAAGGAAGTTCAGTAGAGATACCAATGATGGTATTAATTACAAGATGGAGAAGAATGACGTTGATGAAAACACATGTGTTGTCAAGTCTGAGAGTACATTGGATGAAGCTGCCGTGCCGGCTGTCGGCAACGAAATGGACATCGACATAACATGCAATAATAATGAAGATAGTGAGGTAGAAATAGGTCCTCTCAAAGAGTTAACGGATTGTGAATCAACGGAACAAGATAATGCAAGTACAGCTAATGACGATAAAGAAAGACCGCCTATCCCAAAATTGAAAATAACGAGAGGGAGGGCTTCTAAGGCTTCTAGTAATACTCAAAATGTTGGTAGTAACCAAGAAGGAAAGGATTCTTCTTATAAATGTTCTGTAACCTCTACTAAAACTAATGACAAAGTAAAGTATCGTGCAGTTGTTAATAGAAGATTTGGTTCTACGAGAACTTATAAAAGAGAAGATAAAACTATAAAAGAAGAAAAAACAGATGGCAATTTAGTTAGAGTTTTTTCAACGGAAATTCCATCTGGAAAAGTTTATTTAAAACGAGTGCAAACATCAGCTGTTGAAAAGAAAAAGAAACGGACTCCCGTGAAGTATCCCCTTTGTTCAACATTCCACACAAGGAGTAAAGCTAAAACAATAATGGTCTTGCCTCATCACGAACTGCGGAAACTCTGCAGACAAGCTGGGCACAATGCTGTAGCTGGTTTTAGCCACAATGCTAAACCCAATCAAGCTGTTTGGCCATATCCATGTCCTCGACCATTATTTAAAACATGTTGGTTATATCGCACTGTTAATCTTCAGTGGTTAGCGAGTGCAGCTTTACAACTTCGCATTATGTGGGCATGCTTACGTTGGGATGATATGGCAGCTAAACCTGCATCTGCCGATGGAAAACATCAGCTAACTACTGACACTGAAATAGTTTCTCTTGAATTACTAAAACATCGACATATAGGTCAGTTTTCGGAACGGACGCAATACCTTCGCCGACGAGTAGTAATACCACTCGAATTACCGAAAACAGTCCGTGAAGTCACATCTATTCGCAGTGGCTTAAGGAAAAGAAAACGTGCTGAGTCTCCACAAAACACTGAACCTCAGGTAATGTTATACTGAAGTTGACAAAAAGAGGATCATTATACCTCCATATTTCATGGTCAAAGTCAAAAATCATTTATTTTAATTAGACCAGGAAGGCACTTTTGATCGTCAGGTCAATAAGCTTAATAAGTATGATGGTTAAGCCTAATACTATTTATGTTATATTTAGGTCTCTGAAGAGTGGGTCGACGAAGATAAACTGGAACTGTGGGAGGTTCGTCAATACGGAGAGCGTACCGAGCGTGCGACCCCTGTGACCCGCACGTCTACGGGCAAGCTGCCGCAACGCAACGTGGCGCCGCCCGCCAACGCCGCCGACCTTAAAGACAAGATGGAGCAACAATTACGTGAACAGAGAGCAGCTCATCAACAGAAGAGGGCTCTAGAAATGTCTCAGGGTATTTATATTCTACTTAATCTATACTAATATTATAAAGCTGAACGCGCCTATTTCCAGAACTACTGGTCCGATTTGAATAATTCTCTGTATGTTGGATAGTGCAATTATCGAGGACTATAAAATATCACGTTATATCCAATTCATCATGTTTATTCAAAATATCTAATAGGAATCGAGCTGTGGCATGAATTTATTGCAAAATAAGTTTAAAATCAATAGTTTCTCATGTAAATGAATAGAAAAAACTTCTCTGTTTTAAGTTACGTAGGTACTATAATTAATACACAATTTCCATTTCAATTACAAAGGATCAAACTAATACAATATTTGTTTTAATTTTGACTGCCTCCTTGGCCGAGTGGTCGCAAGCGCAGCGAACTGTGCCGAATGCAGTGGATGTTACATTTAATTCGTAGGTACGCCTCTGCTTGCCCCTTGGAATATAATACGTGATGTTATGTTTATATTTGTTTGTTTTCATTACAGAAAAATCGAAATCTACTCCAGGTCAGAATTCCAATAAAAGCACTCTTACATCTTTACTTACTACCAATGCCACCACACCTACAGGGCAAAAAACAGTTATTGGAACTAGAAGAATTATCATGACAAAGGGAGCTGATGGTTCAACGCGTGTCATCAGTCAACCCATAGCTGGTTCAACTAAATCAGCACAAAGTGATGGAGGTACCGCAAAGCCGACTGCAACACCTCAAAAAGACGGACCACAAAAAGTGCAAATTATTCGAGCACCCGATGGGAAAATAACAGTTCGGGGCTTGCTAGCAGGACAACAACTTATACAAATGCCGGACGGAAAGTTACACGTAGTGATGGCTGGTCAACAAGGAATTACGGGGCAGTTAGTAGCAGCTTCGCCAATGACTAAACCAGCGGAAAGTTCTAACGCCGATAGAGACAACATCCAAGCAAAAACAGTCGTCGAGGAACAGAGACAAACAGTCCGCGCCGCCGCATCCAGTACGCAGCAAGTCGTAGTGCAAGCTAACCGACAAATCGTGGTACAGCCCACCCAACAGGTGGTAGTGCAGCCCGCCGCGCAGGTGGTGGTGCAGCCCGCGCCGCAGGTGGTGGTGCAGGCGGGCGCGCGCGCCCTGCCGCCACGTCTGCAGCCCGCGCAGGCCGTGCTGCTGCAGGGCCAGCTCGTGCCGCGCGCCGCCGCGCCGCGCACGCCCGCAGTCACGCCGCGCCCTCGTCCTGCCGCCGCGCAGCAGATTGTCGTCAATAACCCAGTATTGGTGCAGCAGATTGCCGCCGGAAAAATTCAATTGGCGACTGTTAACGGACAGCAAGTTCTTATTCGGCCTACTGGAAACAATCAAGCGCAGATAGTCGCGCATATAGGTCAAAGTCCGGCAGGCGTAAGCGCTGCACCGGTTTCCTCCCCAGCTCCCGTGATTCGACCGGCTCCGCCTCCATTGGCACCGCAGCCCGCTCCTCAGCCTATCCAGCCCCTACCGCAACCGCAACAACAACTTACCGAAGATGAAATTGTGGAAAAGCGGCTGCTAGTTGGCCAACCTCCTGGCACAGTGATAAAAACTGTAACAGCGCAGGTAATTATAATAAATTACAATTATCTTAATATATCTTTCCAATTTATGGTACAACTTAGTGGTACAGAATATATCTATGTACAAGTGGTTAGGTTACTAATAGCTACAAATATACGAGCGTAACTTATTTCCGGGCGTATTTTGAAAATTTGTACTGTTCACAAGATTGTACTTATATTGTAGATCGCTGTAGATGAAACAATTATACACAACATTCTCTTTTAACTACCATTACGAAATATTGATGTTCCCGCTATTGTCTTTACAGGTCATGCAGACTAGCAGCGGACCAAGTATAGTTCTCCAAGGGTTGCATGGATACTCTTTGACACCGCAACAGCTAGCCTTAGTACAACATCAAGTGAAACAGCAGTTGCTAAAAGGTAAATTAGTAGATACCGTGACTTTATTAACTCCTTAACTTCTTTTCTGTCCAAGCATTCAATGACTGCACCTTTACAGCTCAAGAGTCTACAGGCAAACAGGGTATGCTGGGTCCCAGGAAGATGTACCTAGCCGTGCAACCAGCGCCCACCGCGCCGCCGCCGCTCACTCCGGTGGCGCCGCAAGCTCTGCACGCTATACAGTCGCTGCAGCCACTAGCAGTGCCAACGCATCAGGTAATTTATTACTACTAGACGATACTTTGGGCTTAAACACTAGCCATTTTTTGTTGATACGTGTACATTGCGTAATAAATTGGTTACCATACAATTTATTGTAAATGGATTAAATAAAACTCCATACATACTAAGAAGACAAATAAATGATTGTCACATTGCCTCACCAAAATCCGCCATAGTAACTTAAATTTTTAATTTTTAACTGTATGGCGGATTTATTAACAGGCTCTGCTCGGCTTTCTTTTGGGGTGGGATCAAAATGAGGGCTTTAGATTTTTTAATAAATATACTAAGTCGAAAAGCAATTTTACAAATGTTTGTAACTTAATAACACGCGGAAGTCAATAACAGATGCACTCGTTATGATCATACCCTAAGAAATTATGTACTGAACATGTCTGCGCAAACAAAATAATGTAATCTAATTTATAAGACTGGCACATTATGTTATTTAAATATCGTGAACAATAGTAATTACTATTAGTTTTACATGAAAACACCAAAGATTTTGTAAATACGAAATATCCATGTATATTATAATTTATATTTTAGAGTTCACATATCTATTGATTCCTCTAATCCATAGGTTGTAGGTATTTAGTAGTATAAAGTAGCAAAATAGTAAATCTCAGTATTATAAACTTCTGCAAGTAAACCGCATTTTATACTCTATTTATATGTTTTTTACATAATGTTTACATAACAGCTTTTTCAAGAGGCTGTATTAATTGCAGTAAGACCAGTCGACTTCAATAGCACTGCGTTTTCCTTAATCTCTTCCAAACGCATGACCTATTGTTTCGACTTATTAAAAAGGTGTTAGCTAATATTTGAATTTTCAAATGGTCAATTTAGATATTTACGAAGCCAAAGCGTTATGTGATGGTTAAAGTCAGAAACTAAGAGATAGATAAAGCTCTGAAGGAGGATCAGGGTCGTTTCGATGTGTAAGTCTTTTCTATGCCTATATTAATAAGTTTAATGTCATTAAAAAGATAAATTGAATTCGAACATAGTAATGCTTATTGATTAAAACTTGACCGTGCCTAATCAAAAATGCTATTTAATCTTTATTAGATTCGGCCCTGATACTCTTTTGCCCCTTTTACGGTGTTTGTTTCTAGTTTAAATCACCTCAAGGCCAAATACTTCGTTTAGTTTTTCAGTTATGCAAGTAAGTAAGATAAGAATCTACGGTTAATGTTATTCTGTCGTGTATTACTTGGTTACTTAAAAATGAAATGTTTTTAAAATGATTAATTTTCGATTCTGGATAGTGTAAACTGTGTAAGTTGTCAAATGATGATAAGACGACTAGAGAAATTTATAGAGAAAGTCCATATAAGCTACTAAACTATTTCGCACAAATTCTTCTTGTAAAATTTTTTTGTAGTAGGCGGATTAAACCAAACCTAGACTTCTGTATCTTAAAATTGTTGCCTCCAAGCAAGCCTAGATACTGTAAGCCTGATTTTGGTGACAACAATTTAAACAACAACCTAAAAAGCGTCCTTCAGATGAAAGTAAAAGCGGTACCGCCCCACATAGACCAGTTAATTGACTGAAGTTATGTAGGAGAATTGTACCCAACAACTTAGCTGAAATATGACACCATTTGTCAAATATTCATAGCTCTGTTTTTACTGATCTATGTCCTAGCGGTTACAACGGATTTCTGTTGTCTATTTGAATGATGCTTAATAACATGTTTGCGAATTCTTTTGAGATCAATACGCGTCTTTATATAACAAAAAATGGGTAGTTTCCTCGGTCAAAAAAATTATATCGACTGTTGATAACAATAAAATATTTAAAAAGATTCACAATTTCATAAATTGGTTATACAATGTACAATGACGCAAAAATATTATGACATCGTCAAATCTCGCAGTCTTCTGCAAAAGTCATATAAATATAAAAATATTAAATTTGACTAGTAGGAAACTAGCCTATTCACATGAACATGTTTGCCTTAAAATTTCAACTACATATAATCATGAAGACTAAAAATATTCAATATCTGTAATTTTATACAAAAGCCTTAATGATTGATTATTTGTTCATGTCAGTTCATTCTTCTCTTCTATTTTAGGATAGAACAAATTATTAAGTATGTTAACTTTCTGAAGTTAGTTGCAATGTTATTATTATAACAACTACCCTCCAAACCCCGTTCTACTAAAGTACGATTGAACGAATTGCTCATACACCACCTGTTGACATGTACTATACCTATAAGTTATTGCAAATTGACTCCTTATTAATATATTGACAGTATAATTTTAATAAAATATTAAAATAATCATCGACTTTTATTTAACGACGACCTGTTTTATTTATGTAGATATTGTTTCTTTTGTTTACAAACGTTTTGTGGGGGTGTATGGGCAATTTAATGCTACTGTGATTCATTTTTCCAATTAATAAATAGGGATTGTTTCTGTTATACACAATTTTCTAAACATTATAACTTTGGAACTGATATATTCCCACAAACGGATGTTGATATTGATTTTTTTTATTTCTTTTTTTTTGTTTTTGACGTAACCCTATTTCTTAATTTGAAAATTTTGTGCACGAAAATGTATAAAAAATATAGTAGAAAATGCTTTATGTTTTGACACAAGTTACACCTTTTACTTATAGGATGCTAGTGAAGAAGACCAAATAAAAAGACAAACACTTTTGAATGGTGAAGAAAATGTAGCAGAAGCGGCGAGTCATAAAGAGGCGACACCTTCAAAACTTGAAGATATCAAAGAAAATAACACGAAAACTGATATTATTAATTCAGCGGCAGATGTTCTACAAAGTAATAAATTCGTGTTAACTCCTGACTATATACAGCAAAGTAAGTATTACTTTTTAGTTCTCTCTCTTAATTCATGATATGAGACGTTAGTTACACATCATTAACTTGTTGAATAAAACGCACCCACGACATGAGAACATTGTTAATATGGAAGAATAATAAAAATTGGTTATATATTTAAATGGAAACAAACCTGGACAGATAATATAGTTAATATAAGCTGGACAGATAAATAAATAAGAACTGGAGTGATAGCTGGTGTCCACTGCTTTTAATGAAACTTATTCTGTTTCAATGACTTTCCATCGGAAATGCGTTAACTACCTCGTTATCAATTATGGACATTTTCAAGAGAAATAGACCACCATTCTTCTGAGTGTTACCACGTCGTTGATTTGTAACCTTTTTAACTTCACACCAATCACACATTCGCTTTATTACAAAGTACCCCATTTAGTACTCCAGACCTTCGCTCCAAATTTCGGTCAACGTACTGGTGCATTTTAAATTTATTTGTTGACCATTCTAAGATGGAAACTGATTGAGATGTGAGGAATTGTGCTTCGGATCTTTGTCGTGTCGGAATGTCCAAATAATACGTCTTAAGCATACATACTTATGGTTGCTAGTATTAATGTTGTTTCCTTCTCAGTCGTAAACACTGACCTGCTTTGATTTTAGTTTTGTGTTTTTCCGTTCGAGTGTTGTAATCAAAAGGCGCGTTTGATCGCTTTCAATCGGAACATATTCTATAAATTTTTGTTTTGTTAAAGAAAATTATATCTTTGTATTCTCACTAAGCGGGCATCGTTTCAACATGGCTACCTTTCTTGTTATCGTTCTACTAAACGCATTCGGGTACCTTGCAATCCGTTTTTAAGAGGTGTTTTGACCAACTCAACTCCTTAATATGGTTTAATCTAAAAGGGTACATATTTGTTTTGCCAAACGCAAGATATTTCAATCATTCTGAAATAATTCGCTGAGGTCGATTTTTCTGTTAATGTATACACGGCTTATTTTTGAACTTCACTGTACGTGGAAATGAACTAAAAAAGTTAACAGTCTGGAATATGATAATGATATTGCAGATGATCTTTAGTTTTACTTGTGAATTCATCAGAACTTGTATTTTTCCTGTTATTTTTATATGAAAGAATCAACTTTAAAACTTTCAGAGCACTATATAGGTAGCGCTAGGTAGCACTGGCTGTAGCCAGAAACTATAGAGTACCACTTCGTATGATCCTTGCATATTTTTATTAGCTTCTATCTCATTCGTAAAGGAGACCGGCAAACTTTCATAGTAAAGGAGTATGTCCAAAAATGTATGATAGAAAACCCACAATTAGTTAAAATCTTATATACTTTAATATATAAAACTAATACTATGTAATATAGAAAACAATGATTGAATTTGGAATAGACTGTGTATGTGTGTATACTCTACCTTGCCAAATATATAAATTACAATTTTCTTGGAAATATGCATATTATACTAGACATTACTTTGTAGGCACTATTCGCATCACTTGTGCCCCCCCGACGATAAAATACTTTTTCGAGAATAACAAGGCGTGATGTTTTAATAATGTACACTATGAGTTCGTATGCACTTTCGAAGTTAGGTTCACCAGTTATTTTTTGTTTTAAACATTTTATTTCTTTTTAAAACTATTTTACTACCACAACAGAACCATTTTACTTCGGGACGAAAACGAAATAGATTTAACGGTTTATAGTATTATATTAAGTATCTATAGTATAGTATTATAGTAAGTCTCTAAACAAACATCATTTGCTATATTTTAAAGAACTATTGATATGTGTATTTAATAAATAACACTGGTTAATATTATTTATGTTATTAGTTCCTTGCATCAAATATAATGTGGGAACAGATGCAAGTGTATAGTCATACTTAGGACTATCTCGAAGTATATTACTCAACTGGGTAGAAAAAAGAGTTTATGCTCTCTTACAACGCTTACAATCACAAATCATCGTGAAATAATTCGTATTAATAAATTACATATGGTTACAGCTATTAAAAGTGCACTCAAACAAGAAAACCTTAACCCTGAAATAGAAGAAAAACTATTACAACTTCAACGCTATCAAGAAAAACGTATGAAACCTGAAGTTCCACCTGAGAGAGAGACTCGAGCAATAGCAGTGGTGGCTAGGTCACCCACACCGCCAGCACGACGTCGACCTACATCTTCGCGACACGACGACGACGATGACGAGTGGGTGGACAGCAGTCCCCGCAAGCGGTCTCGCGGTGGCAGGCCAGCCTCGCCCCCTCCGCCGGCGCCCCCACCGCGCGTCATGCCGCGCGCCCCCGTTGCAACGCCTGCGCCTCCTGCAACTGTGCCGACGCCGCAACCCGTGCACCCGCATCCCTCACCCATTGACGAACGCCGCCGAGCCGCATCTAATAATTCTCGCCTGCAGATGCTACTATTCAAGCATAAAGAAATGCTTAAGAAAGATATCATTAAAAAACGAGGCCTACTTGAGAAAGAGCTTGGTGTTGAGATTCAGGTTGGTATCATTGCCAGATTAAGTAATTTTGTAATATAGACTGAATTTGTATTAAAAATATTATTTGTCTAATTTACAGAAAGAGCTGTCTGCAGAACTAGCACTTCGTACGAGAGCCGAACGAAGTAAACAGGAGGAAGTTAGAGGTGGCAAACGTCGGGGTGCGAGTGCACCTACTACTCCTAAACCCAACAAAAGATCTGTAAAAAAAGAGAAATTATTATGTATATGCCGGACGCCTTACGACAATACCAAGTAAGCTAATTATCCTGTGTATAATTGCTATTAAAACTTATGCATTTATATAGTAGGTACTTTAATGTATCATTTACGTTGACGCAACAACTTTTAAGTCTGTATTATGAATTTTTATTTTTTTTAGGTTCTATGTTGGCTGTGAACACTGCAGCAACTGGTTCCATGGTGATTGTGTAGGAGTTACGGAAGAAATGAGTAAAACCATGGAAGAATATGTTTGCCCTGATTGTCGACGTGCTGAGGAAACACAAGAACTTTATTGTCTCTGTCGTCAGCCGTATGACAATTCTCAGTAAGAATAATATCTTTTAAATATATACTTCCACATTTATATACGTGACTCTTGTATTGCAATACTAATTTAACAATACTTTCCAGGTTTTACATATGTTGTGATCGCTGTCAAGATTGGTTCCATGGCCGTTGTGTTGGAATTTTACAATCAGAAGCAGATAACATTGATGAGTACATTTGTCCAAATTGTCAAAAAAATAATTCTGTCAATTACGCAAATATGAAGGAATTAACTCTTAAAGATTTTGAAAACTTAAAGAGACTTGTTAAACAAATACAACTCCATAAAAATGCTTGGCCTTTTATGGAGCCTGTAGACCCCAGAGAAGCACCCACCTACTACAAAGTTATCAAAGAACCAATGGGTATGTTTTGATTTTATTAGTTTTTAAACATTAATACTTTTGTTACTGTTCTTTTAATCTTATTTTACGAATCTTATTTTTACAGACTTGCAGACTGTGGAAAGAAAAGTGAATGAACAAACTTATAGTACTTTAAGTGAATTTATTGGTGATATGACAAAAATATTTGATAACTGTCGATATTTTAATCCAAAGGACTCTGAATTTTACCGATGTGCTGAAGGCCTGGAAGCCTTTTTTGCACAAAAAATTAAGTACTTTCGTGAAAAGTTATTTGAAACAACTCAATGATAAAAGTGCTAGTGTACAGTGTTTAAAGTATGAAATGTGATGAATTCGGTCTATAAAACACACCAATCGCTATATTCACTATTTTGTTTTATGATCTGTCTGTAAATTTAAACTATGTGATGCAAATTGCAAAGAATAATTTATATTAAATTTGAAGCTGAATGTATCTAATAGAGTTGGTCAGTTTTGGTTCTTTGTAAGTATTTATTGTATTTATTACACACTTCAATATAATCCCAGAATAAAGCTGACACTCGTTAGATAAACAGGCTTTTGACGGGAAATATATTATGTATACATTTTTGTGAAATATTATGTTAGCTAATGTAAATTAGCGACTTTAGTTACGTTAGTTGTATTTTAGAATAAGACAAACATATTGTATGTAAGTAATAAATTTTTAACAACGTCTTTATATATATTTTACTTGAATATAAGTTTTCCAATACATTCATAGCTATCCCGAATAAATAGAATGGTGAGTTGATGGTGGTGGTGTGCAGTGTGGATGTTTAAACAAATAAATCGACCAAATTAGACAAAAACAGGGGGAGATTACAATAATTTTCTACCATGGAGCATTGTTCAAAACTAAATCCATACGATTTATATGAAATGTAAAAACTCTTTTTCAATCACACTTGAGGAAAATAGTTACTCGAGGACAAAATGGGTAGGTTTTGTTTGTGATTTTCAGTGAAATGATAAGTTCCATATCAGAATATTTCATAAGTGCAAAGGCAATCTCAAGTGAAACAAGTTAATTTACTTCTGCAAATAGGCTACAAGGCAGCACTTGTACACGTCAATTTTTTAAGCGAACGATGAGGTTGACTTTTCATCTGACTACTCTCGAGAATATATGCCAAATTAAACTCAAGGTCCGTCTCTAACGTTCGTCTCTCGAGTCCGTTCTCGACTCGAGTACCTGCTAAAAATTATGGTTGGCTGGTGAAACCTAAATCCAGATGGCACCAGCATAATATATTGGCCGAAACTTGTGGCACCTATTATTCTTAATCGTTATGTTAATAACAATAACCTCTGTAAACGCGATTCATCAATTAAAGCAAGGGCGTTAAAAAAGGTGGACGTAATTGCACGGTTGGTGCGGTGGCTGAGCAACTGGCTGCCGCGCAACGTGTCGCGGGTTCGATTCCCGCACGGAACAACTCTTTGTGTGATCCACAGATTGTTGTTCCGGGTCTGGGTGTCATGTGTATGTGAACTTGTATGTTTGTAAACGCACCCACGACACAGGAGAAAATCCTAGTGTGGGGCAACGTTTTAAAAAAAAAAAATTCACTTGGAAATGGTTGAAGCACCAAAATTGCAGTAGTGTATTTATGTGTGCGTGTAGGTACTTGTGAATCGTAATGTATGAAGTGTCGCATGCCACGCGACAGATGTCCTTCGTGTCAATCACAGACTACTTGTAGATACTACATATGTGTCAATATGTGTATCTTCTGCGTGTAAGCCTCGGAACAATAACTAAAGCAAGTTATTGTTCCGAGGTGTAAGCCTTACAGTCGTTATTTCAAGGACTGTTCGCCATTTTTTCAACGTCCTTGCACATAACATATAGGTACATTACAATGTTATGAGTTAATCGATGCTAGCACCACAAGGCTGATTTGTCAATCATCAGTTAATTCATAACTGTTGAATAAAAATGACATTTAACAGATAATAAAATATATATGGATGAATTGTCATATTATTTCCTATGACTCCTCTGGTATTGCGGCGGGTGTCTATGGGGCGATGCAGGCGCTGATCGCTTACAATCAGGTGATGCGTACCTTTAGATCGTTTGCTTTTTATTCCATAAAAAAAATAAAAATCATACAAACTACATTCTTATTAAAAAAAAATTAAAATACAAGAATTGGAGTCAACCGCGTTCAGTAACGGCAGCATGGTCTAGGCTACCCGGTGATTAGGGCTTCAGACACAAAAACCTCCTCACGATGCGTGCCGTTTCAAGGAGATCCATTCGCCTCCTAAAGGTAACGATAATCCTATAATACATTTTTAAAGGTACATTAGCTTGGCAAAAAACGAGTTTGACGCGGTGACAGCTGGAACTAATATTGATTTAGACTGAATCACCCACTTGGGACCATAAATAAAAAAATCATGCGAACATAGGACCTCCCCTTGTTTAATTCTTAAATAAAAATAACAAGTATCAAAATCGGTCGAGTCGAAATACACCAGATTGTCACAAGTACGACACTAGCGACCTAAATTATTTCAAAATTTTTTCGCCATGCTGTACGTTTACTCATTGTTTATGGTTAACTTTTGGTAACTTTCTCTAATCGATTTGTTTTTTGGTTTTATATTCCAAGAAAACATTACGTCAGACGTAATAATCGTTTGAATGACTAGCATATAATATGATATATAGCTATATGTAGCTCATTCATTTCAATTTGAATTTCATGATTAGTCATAGCTAATCATTATAATTATCACATTCGAATAAACTTTTATTTGATATCGAGTATTGTCGTTGGATAAATGAATGTATATCCGAACGCGAACGCTCAAAGATAGACAGCCGTGAGGTTATGTTTACTGCATAATTTTGTCGAGTCAGAATTCAGTCGGTTCGGTATCTAATTTAGGACAAAACTTGCTCAATCATTTAAAAGTTCTATAGAAAGTTACCAAAATGTTGGTGACACTGAAAACATTACAACAGCAAACTTTTCAAATAGAAATCGATCCAGAAGAAACGGTTAAAGCGCTCAAGCTGAAAATTGAAGTTGAGAAAGGTAAAGACTATGTTGCTGATCATCAAAGGCTTATTTACGCAGGAAAGATCTTGCTCGATGATGATAAATTAAGTACCTATAACATAGATGAAAAAAAATTCATTGTTATCATGGTAACGAAACCAAAATCTTCGGATGTTCCGGCATCAACTACGTCTGCTCCCGAAGCTGGTGAAAGTGCGTCAACGGAAAGTGGTGATGGAAAACCAAAGCCCACCACCGAAGAAGCTCCTAAACCTACTCCAGCTGCAGAACCTGAGCCAGTGGCCGCATCTAATGAACTTGATTTTGAAGCTACAGTGCAAAGTATTATGGACATGGGATACAACAGACAACAAGTTGAACAAGCGCTACGTGCTTCCTTTAATAACCGCGAAAGAGCAGTGGAGTACTTAATAACAGGTATTCCCGAAGAGTTGCTTCAAGAACAGGATGCTGAAGAAGGCACTGATGAGGACCCATTGGCTTTCCTCCGTGATCAACCTCAATTCCAACAAATGCGTGCTGTCATCCAACAGAACCCAAATTTGCTGAATGCAGTGCTACAGCAAATAGGTCAAACTAATCCAGCACTATTGCAAGCAATCAGCCAACATCAGTCAGCTTTTGTTAGAATGCTTAATGAACCTGTGAACCCATCAGCTGCTGGTGCAGTTGCTGAAGAAAATCCTATAGATGTGCCGCAAGTACAACATCCTCAAGTCTCACCTCAAGATAAAGAAGCCATTGAAAGATTAAAAGCATTGGGCTTTCCAGAACATATGGTTATCCAAGCTTATTTTGCTTGTGAAAAAAATGAAAACCTTGCTGCAAACTTTTTGCTGTCACAGAATTTTGATGATTAGAATTAATCTTTCATTGATATTTAAAGTGAAGAGACAAAATTAAAATGATAACACTAAAGTGTATTTAATATGTTGTCTACTACATCAATAGCCTAATAATACTTAATAGTGTTTACTGCTTGTTTTTCATGTGTAATTTTACACTGAATTTCAAAGATTTTGTCATAATTCAATGTCTAATAAATTTCTTATGGTTCAAATATTTTTTTAATCTTTTCTGTGTGTAGTACCTGTGTTTGTTATACAATAATCCTATTTTGCCAATACTGATGCATATAATAAAAGTTGAAGTGATAAATCAGGTTTGCAGGAGATTTAAACCATTCCGAAGTAGTGGTTCACGGTGCTGTTCATCTAGTTGGACTATCAATTAGTTTTGTGGGGCTTAAATTATAACTATTAAATTATAATTATACCTGTGAGTTTTAAAGATAAATAAATAATAATAATGGAACTACTTAGTGGGTAATGTGGCTTCAAACTATGGGGCGAGTTCAATTCTCATGTAAAAACTACAACTACACACATGCTTTTTCCCTTCTTATGGTGCCACTTCATTCATAAATGTTGGCTGTCAGCTTTTTGAATTGGTAAAAATGCTAAAGGAAATATAACAAACAATAGTAATACAACTTGTTTGGGTACAATGTAGCACTAACTTTTCATCAGTTACGGGTTCAATAAAACCGAAATGAGCTAATTACCATAATACACTACTATGGACAGGTGCTGGTCAATTCTAGACTCTGCTATTACTAAGATTTCTCGAAAATTCCAATATTTTGTCAGATCTTTTTTTTTTTTAAGGGGGGAAGGTCGTACAATGACTGCTCCCGCCTTAGTGTCAGACTCTTACTGACTAAAAACCACCCCGTTCCTTCTCCTGCACGTCGAACCGGAGCCCCGGTTACCCGTTAGGTTCTCCGCGACTCCGAATCGGCATCGGCCCTGTTGGGTCCCAACTGTGGTGTTCTGATGGCTCTTTGAGGTGCGCGCGGAACGCGACGCGCCATTTTGTTAGATCTGGGAATCGAACGACATACTCCTTCTTCGGAAATCAATCGACCAATAAGTCAGAAGAAATATTACCTAGCAAAACACTTAATCACTTAATATTGTCAGACTCCAGAAATTCTCGAGTATTTTGGCGGTCAATATGAGGACTGGGAAAGTAAAGTTAAAATCGTTATCTTTTATCGTTACATATAGGTAGGGATGGGTTGACTACTAACTCTCTGTTATGTGATGTTCACTGATTTGAATATGGAAATTTATAATAAAACAACTTTGTTTATAGTAAGTAGTGCACCGCTCAAGGGAACGTTCGCCCGCCACTTCTAACACATGGGCAGTGTGTGGTGCGACACTAACGAATATAATAGGTCCATAGGTTCTTAATAATTCTATTACTTACACATTGCACGACTGCACGGTTGGTGCGGTGGCTGTGCAACCGGCTGCCGTGCAACGTATCGCGGGTTCGATTCCCGCACGGAACAACACTTTGTGTGATCCATAAATTGTTGTTTCGGGTCTGGGTGCGTGTGTGTGTATGTGAAATTGTATGTTTGTAAACGCACCCACGACACAGGATAAAATCCTAGTGTGGGTAGTGTTTTCTTTTTAATTTGATGAAAATTAATCTTAGACACAATGCTCTAAAGCACAGACATAAACGTAACGTTTTAAATAATTTTCAGGTCTTCACAAAAATACGCAAATCAAAAATTTCTACTGTTTCATATGTAGAAGTAGGTACGATAATTTTGATAATAATACCGTGGTAGTCATCTGCAATCGACCGCATTTTTTTAACCTTCTCAAACTGAGTTTCATTATAATATTATGATATAATTTAACTCAGTTACGCCCAGTCTAAAGTTATCACGAATTAATATTAGGTATGTAATATTATTATAAGAGGTTTCGACTAATTTTAGGATGTAGCGAGATATAAATATACCTATATACTATGATAATAATTATGATAAGTTAGCTGAAGTAGGTAATATTGCCTGGCCCTGTAATTCTTTGTTATATCTTCAATCTTTATTTGAATTTCTGTAACATTGTCAGAGAAACTTTGTATACCATGTGTAGGTAGGTACATAACAATTTATTTTGGTTACAAGGTTTCTCAAAAATATGCAAATAACTCTGTTAAATTCATTTTGATAATTATATCTTACTTTGTATTATAAATGCGAAAGTTTGTGTGTATGTTTGTTAGTCAATCACACCAAAACGTCTGAAAGGATTGGGATAAAATTTGAAACAGGGATAGTTCAGTCCGAAATAACACATATTTTTATACCACGGGAACGCGGGCCAAGCTGCTGGCATAAACTGGTAGGGTATATAAATATCTCTGTCAATTTTAACGTGTAAATTGGAATAATAAGACAACAATAAATACATCAAACAGTTAATATTATTAATTTTATAAATAGCATTAAGTTAACATAAAGAGCTATGTTGGTATAAATTTTATTCATTCTAAGTAAAGGCACTTTCCACAATGTCTATCATTAATGCTAAATCATTTGCCATGATTGATAAAACAGTAATACATAACAGTTTCTTCCATAGAACAAGTACATTTACACACAAACATTAATGTAACATATTTCAATAATAATTCAATTGTAGTGAAAAATATTTAACACAAAATGTATGTAGTATAAATCAATCATGGCAAATAAAATATAATAAAATCTTATTATAACTCTGGTAGTCAGCTAAAATTACCCATTCACAAAAACAAAATACATGATGTGTATATCATGATGTGGATGATAGAATTCAACAAGTCACGAAAGTAAATAAGAACACGAACCTCAAATACATTCTTCTTAATGGGTAAGACATAAAATTTGATTGTATTTGATTAAAAACAATTCACTTTTTCATCCACATTATTACACTAGTATATATACAGATTTTTATACATTCTTTTTTACATATCTTTATTTATACACAATGTACAAAATTCTTATTCTCATTTTAAAGGTATGTATCATTTTATTAGTATAAGAAAAATAGACAACTGTACATTGCAATATGGATATTGCACAAAACAACTAAAAATATTAACTTTGGCTTATCCATTATAAACACCCTGTATGGTGTCAAAATATAAGATAAAATCAGTTTATACAGTGTTATGTATTTATCACTTCAGTATCTTCAATCACAGACATGTGACAAAAACTAGCAGCAGCATGTTAATTAAGTTTTAGACAAGAAATGCTGGTTTCTATAAACGGCCAAAACTGAAACTGTATCTACTTGTCACTAGATTATTTAAACAGCACAGTTGCCAATACTGCTGGTCATCATCAACACAATTCATTTTATACTACATATTTATATTGTTTAACATGTTCAATGGGGTTGTTGACAAATCCTGAAAATTAAAAATCTATTCAATCCGTCAGACAATGAAAATTTATTCAACAAGTATTTTTCTGTATAAGGTTACAATACTAACACAAAACGGATTGTAGTTCAAGAGTGGTAGTTCGCGACATTACCGCTACCTATAAAAAGTTGTTAGTCATTAAGTCGCACAATATTTGAAATCAAAATAATTATCGTCATAGGTATTTAATTCTGTAGGAAAAGAAAAAATAGTGTCTAATATTTCAAATTAATCTACATTATAAATAAAATTTAAGAAACAACCCCAAGTTGATTATTTCAAGTCCGGTTTCTTGTAAAATAAATTGTTATAAACATAATAATAACTTTAAAGATATCTACAGTCGTGCATACATGAGAAAAATACCATTCCTATAACTTAGACATACATATTTATGTGAATGTAGCAAGCGGTCTGCATATAACTTTTTAAAATGATTATTCGACATGGCAAAACTGCCTTGAATATTAAAAACTTAAATGGACGAATTTATTCGTAAACTGCCAAACTACTAAGTTGACTTACACACAGACTACCTATTTGTAAATTATTAGCGACGTTTATTTATTATGCATTTCGGATAAATGTGACCATTACAGTATCTTTGTTAGTACGCTACATGGCTGGGTAATGCGCAATATTACAACAATTGTCCTTTATCCCTGTCACCTTATGACAATTAAATAGAAATTTAGCATTGTGACATAATATATGTAACGGCTACGGCGCACACCGGAACTAGCGCAGATAATTCTGTGTTGTTTATTATCTGTACTAGCACCGTATACAGAACGCGGCAGCAAGATCGTGAGTGGTGCAGGAAATTTGTCTTACAGATGTGAATGAAAAAATCGCAGGGTTTGTTAGGAAACATATGTATATACAACTCACAAGACCTACAAGAATGTGGCGGGAAAATACTAAATATACTAGCATCAGTTTTTAGAAAGTAAAGGGAAACAAAATAAGAACTATGGTGCGTGGCCTGCTGCCACATTCTGTTCATTGATCGTTTCACACACCGCTCAAATGATCCAAATAGCATGGTGCTATGAGCTAAATGATATTTTAGAGCTAGTTGATTGAGAGAATAAACACTCAATATATGAAATTGACATTGGCATAGGTTCTAATTTGCGTCAATAGAAAATAGAGCTTATTATTTTCCCAATTTCCCAAGATTCACAAAAAAATCCTTTTGGCTCATAGCACAGGTACCGCGCATTCGTGTGCCGAATATACTCATATATTGCATAAGAATAGTCCAAGATGTAGCCGTTTATAGAATAACAGAAGCCTAAAATCAGTACAATAATTATATACAATTGTCCAATTCCAAAAGTCGACTTTCAACAATTTTCAGATTAGTCAATTGTGATTTGCCACATTAAATAAACTAAGAAAATAAAAAAAATAACAAAAAATGGATCTTGAATAAAAACATATTTTCTTGGCATCAAATAATTGACAATATTGAACTCTTAGAAAATCATTTACTTAATGTAGAATGATTTAATAACATTACCGCCCCAAAAATGGCACAAGTCGAACTTGCTTGAAATGTATGCTAAAACATTTTGGAATGGTAAATAAAGTTATGACTGACATTTTAATTCTATTTAACGAATAAGCCTATATTAACAGGTAATATATATAAAAATCAAACAGTGACGTAAATAGCTACTAATATGGTGTCGGTTCTGTTATTATTATACTGGATAAAAAATCAAACAAATGATATGAAAACAACAATAGAAAATTACAAAACACATTAACAATTCAAATACATCAAATCTAACAATACTTTAAAAAAGGGATTGATCAATCAATGCATGAACAATAATAATTGACTTGACATTATCAACTACTAATTATACAGAATTACAAAGTTGTAATCCTAACTAAGTTGATAGCCAAATCAAGCAATCCGAATGCAGCATTTTAGCACAGACAGTACAGTAACAACGTGTGCCTATCTATCGGCTCTGTGGCAGGGCAGCAGCACACCCGATTAGCCAGCTGGACCTCATTCTGTCTTTTGTTGACAGTATAATTCCTTTAAGGATTTTAATTCTTCTATTAGTGCTTTATTTTGGTTCTCAAGCACTGCGACTCTGTTCTCTAGACATTTTATGTATTCTTTTTTCTTCCGGCGACATTCTCTGGCTGCTTCGCGATTTTTCAACAACCGTAATTCACGTTTACGTGTCTGATCTTCTAACATTGGACCTGAAAGTATTGTAAAATTTACTGATTTATCAACATATTGTTTTCTACTACAATAGTTAAAAAATGATTGTTACACTTACCGGGAACATAAAAATGTTCGTCTTGATTTGTCGAGTACTGGACTATCGCTCCGCCTGCTCCTCCTCCGGATACAGCCAGTGTATGTAAACCACTTTCAGTTTGAAGAGCACCCGCTGGAATTACTAAAAATAAAAACAGAATAATCAAAGAATTTCAAAATTGAATTGAAATTAATGCTGTAAAACATAAGAATAAGACATGTCTAATAACAGTATTTAAAATGTGTAATTGAACTGAACCACCTTTTGCCAATTACTAATTAATACCCAGAAGTTTCAAATACACTTAAAACCCATATAAAGATTGTGCTCTGTTTAATTACGTTACGAAAGAAAATAACAAATGGATATCACTATAGCTTTCTATGTGACATGAGGACAAAATAATAGATTATCACTACTATAAACCTGAATAATAGATTTTCACTATGAACTGATTTTTTTTAAAGAATGGGATGCTTTGCATACCTGCTTGTTTGAACATTCTCATAAAAAAACTGGACTGATATAAAAGCTTAAATTTTAATGGACAGTCGTATTAATTTTAATATAGTCATCACTACATAGTATAAAACAAAGTCACTATCCGCCGTCTGTCTTGATGATCTTTAAAAATACCCAACGGATTTTGTTGCGGTTTTTTTTATAGATAGAGTGATTCTTAAGGCAGGTTTATATGTATAATACATGCATATTGCACCCGTGCGAAGCCGGGGCGGGTCGCTAGTTAAATGAAATATCGAAGTACCAAAAATATGCATCAATAGGGTTGAATTGAAATATGTACATCAATTAAACATGTTATTTGTTTCTGATATTATCTTAAATGAATTTGATGATATCAAATTACTAAATACCTATTTGAAAACTTCAAATTCCAATATTTGGCACGTGTTGCCTAAGCTAGCACATAAAGTTGCTTTAGTAAACCATTGAGGATTGTCAGTACTAATCGAAATATGCTTTATAAGAAAGTGGTCAGTAATAAAACCAATACATTTTTTTTTGCCTGGAACAGGATAGTAAATAGACATGACCATGATGACATGACACTATGATCAGATGTCGCGATCGCGGCGTATCGACCAATCAATTTTATAAACAACAACAAAATATGTAACAAGGGAATTAATGTCAGCCTAAAAGGGTCACAGAGTTGCTTCTTGGAACACATAATAATATTTAATTAATACGTATTCTATTTTAATCATTATTTATATATGATGATAATAAATCATCATTACTAGAATAATTAAATAATAAGCTTAGATTAAGTCTATACTAGAATAATTAAATAATAAGTATATGTGAACAAAATGGAAATAAATATATTTATTTGTATTACCAACCCATAATTGTTCACCGCTGAACTAAAAACTCTTCTCATACAGAGAAGTTATGTATTAAACACCACGCTTGCTCAAGGTCAAGATGGAATGACGATTATAAACTTTTGATCCTGATCTCACCATTACCCAATACAACGGGTGGTTGAGAGTTTCTCTTTACAGCCGCGGAGTAACGTGATAAGTAACATAATAAAAAAAAAATAAAGTTACTTGGAAATAAGTATGAATAAGCAAAGTGGGTTTAGTAAGTTGTAAGAATGGCGTCATCACGCCTTCTCGCCGCGAATTACGTCATCGCGTGGAATATTAATCAGGTCTCACCAGTGATGACGTCATTGTAGTCGGAATGTGTCTACAACTGATTTAAACCTATAAATAAACATTTACAAGTGATCAAACAAAATACAACACATGTATGTTAATAAATAAGGTCACGCAGAAAACTTATATGGATTTCTAGATCAGCATAATTCCCTTGCACCATGAACATTTTATGCGGCAGTAACTAATAAACTTGGTAAGAAATGCAACTACTTCTTTTTTCAATTGAAGCCCATGTAGATGTGAAACATTAAATTAATGTCTAATCAAGCACAAAGAGGTAAACAGAATATTTAATTGTTCAATTCAAGGTCACTAGCTATGAACACTAGACACTAGTATTACAAGTTGGATATTTTAGTCATCAAAATCGAACTTACATACATGTGTATGATAGGTATGTACATATATGATAATCCTATGTATACCATAACATATTTAATGTTTTATTACCGATTGATTTCGAACATGTATTTTTGTTTACTGATCAAGTAAACTTCTTTATGAAAAATATTAATAGCTACTCCCGCGTATGCTCAGCCGCAGGTCTCAACCGCTGCTCGCCTAAATTTCGATGATTATGACAAAATAATTTCAGGCATAAATAACATGTAAAGAAATAATTTAGGATATAAACTAGTAAAAAAATTTAATGAGATTTTGTAGACTGATTTGTTTGTTGTGCCTATTCACAAGATATGTTACATTTATTTTATAACGTGTATTAGAATAGTAATAAACATCCCTGTAACATCAACTAAATAACTTTTTTGTAAGTTATTAACAATGGTTCATTGTAATGTAAATAATAAATATAAGAATAGCGGCTTGTTATGCCACTATTTCTATATTTATAGAATGTATTTGATGACTAAAATATTACTTTCAAGCTTCAAAAGATAAATGAGAAATTTTAACGTTAAAATGTTATGTTATTGACGTCTCTAAAGAAATACTAAACCTGTTTGTTAAACTTTTTGTTTGTTTACACATATTATATGAACAAACTTGAGACAAATCATTCAATAAAAAAATATAAGACAGGAATTATAGACACAAATAGTAAAATAATTAATTTGTTCACTACTTCACTAAACGAAATTAGAAACCTACAAGTTAATACCAGGTGCCCCTGAATCTAGTTTTGAGATGTCAAGCTGCGCTCGAGCAATGCGATGCGTAGCTCCGTAAGCGCTGCGTTAAATTATCGAAATATGTAAACTAATCAATTATAAGAAAATACTATATTTTTGAGGAAATATAGATAAGAGAAGACAATGATAATAGGTACTATGTATACGATTATACGCAGCGTGTACGCGATCTCAAAAGGCTTAATACTATAGGCAATAAAAAGAATAAGTTATCTTTGAAATAAAATCTAAACTGAAATACTGAAATTCCTAACAACAACCTTCTTATGAGGTTTAAAACAAATGATAATAATGGCAGAATCCTGAAGCTGTGGTTATGAGCTGTGTACCAACACAATGTACAATAAGTTATGTATGATGCGTTGTAACAGGTTAGTGACACATGTTGCACACAGAAACAAAGAGTGTGAACGGCGGCACATATAACTGACCTGAACTAAATGATAAAGAAGATGACAGCGACACTTCATTCTCGTTTCCTGGTTTAGATCCCATGCGATTTTCTGTAATATTATCAGGTTCTTATACTTATGAGTATTTTGATTTAATTGATTCCACCTTTTTATTACGAGTGTACAATATTGTTAATAATACAGTCCCATGAAACTAAATGACCTAACCAATTGACAGGGAAAATAATATGTTATTTGGATTATACTTAATTTTATAAGGGAACATATTTAAATATGTCCTATTTGCCGTTCTTCATTAAGATATTGTTGCTAGTACATTGTGTTGTGGAAATGACAATATTAATGTTTGAGTATGGAGTGAATATAAAATGTAAAAATTCTGCAATTGAATATGCTAAAGGCTTATGACATTTATGCTTCAGAAATTTTAATATAACTTTCCATCTCATAATCACTAACAGGAAATTGCCTAGAAGCCTAATATAATTTTAAATACATATTAGAAAACCATCACAGCACAATCTTTATATCCAAATACTTTTTTCAAATTTTTGTTACATAAAACATCTAATTCTTTATTAAGGACTCACCCGCAATTTCAGCACCTCCAAGATCATTCAAGATTTTGCGGTATGAGGGACGCCTGGTGAGCATTTCCCGGTACTTTCTCTTGGGACTCTCATCACCACTACAACTGTCATCACTGCAGGATTGGCCTTGAGTGCTGACTAATGAGTTAGGTTCTGGTTTAATCTACAAATAAATAGGTATTCTGTAGATTCTATTAAGCAAGTGTTTAGTTTACTAAAAGTATACAACACAGGCTGCCTTGTTGGCCGAGTGGTCGCAAGTGCGACTGCCGGCAAAGGGTCTCCCGGGTCGGGCAAAGTATTACTATTATTTTAAAAATTCTCAGTAGTAGCACGGAGTCTGGAACTGTGCCCGGTATATGGCAATAGGCTCACCCCCTATTACATGGGATTCTTAACATAAATAGTGAAAAGTGGGTGTTACATTCTACAGTGGCATAATGTGCACGTTTGCCTACCCCTTCGAGGAAAAAAGGCGTGACGTTATGTTATGTACAACACAGTAGGTAATATTTTTACTTTTTAGAATACTCAATAATTTTGTTATAACTAAATCACATAAAAACCAGCTGAAGCATTAAAATTATTAGAAAAAGAAGCTAATATTAATATTAATGAATTGGTTCTTATAAATAAGGACAAAACAATAACATAATATGCTCCAAAAAATTCAACATAAATTTTTCTAAACTCATATGCCACACATAACTAAAACATGTTGTAATTTTAAATGTAATACAGGAAATGGAGTAACATTTTCTTTACAATATATTAAACACTCACAAAATTAATATAATAAAAAATAAACAATAACAATACCTGCAATGTTTGCAATGTTCCTTGTGTTGTGTGTATTACTGAACTTGGTTTGCTAACAAGAATCACATTCCCTTTTGGTAACTGCACAGATTGTATATTGGATGCTGTTTGAATAACAGATTGTTGGTTTGGCTGTATCACTGACTGAACCTGAAAATATAAATATCTAAAATTTCTCCAAATAGTACATACAGAAATAAATTAACTAAAAACACTAAAATGTATCATAAATATTGATAATTTATAATGAATTGCACAAAACATATACAGCCATGTAATGTTAAGATTATTCACCATAATTCTGCTGTAGTATTAATAACCTATCAATACACACACAGGTTATTGTAATGGTTATCGCATCTAAATTGTAAACAGATGTGTTTCAATGTATAAATATGCAAGTAAATAAAGAACAAAATAAACACCTGAGCAGATGGAGCCTGGGTTGGTAATGTGAGTTGCACAATGCTAGTGACAGCTACTACGTGGGGTGCCGACGCGGGCGCCGAGGAGCTCGCACTGCCCAGTGGATCCGCAGGACCAGCACCGGTTGAAGTGCCATTCTCTTCCACCATTCCATCCATGCCCACTAAGGTCACCTAAAATTCAAGGTCAACTTTCTGTGCATTCCTTGATCTTCAGACATGCTCAAGGCAATATCTTTCGATGATTATAAACACTCTCTGTTTTTCGGAAGTTTCTTGTTGGCTTGAAAATCCTAAAACGGAATCATCGCGTCATAGATGGGACGCGGAATTTCCTATTGCGTCTAATGCATACGCAACATATTTTAATGATATTTACTAGATTTGAGTGTCTTAATATCGTGGATCATACATTATTTGTGAATCCAAATATAAGTAACCATGACAGGTCGCAAGGTTTGTCTTCACAAGCACTCACCAGTTACGTATTCCTCGTCACCGTCTATGCTGCGTCCGGAGTGGGCGAACGGGATGGTACGTAGTAGCCACGTCAACTGCGAGAAGACTCGTCACTGGCGGAGACCTATGATCTTGTATGCGTCATAACAATATGGCCGAAAATTGTCAGACGCATGCGCCAAATGCGCTGATTTTCAATGTTACCCACTTACGAAATTCAGTAAAAGGAGCGAAAAGCATATTTTGACAGATTACACTTTTGGAGTCTGGCAACTATCGATAAAATCAACGGGCCGAAGTCGAATGCACAGAGTAAACATAAGGATACCTTTTTTTAATCCTAGGTTACTAGGGCCTAATGACGGTATATTGGCTGTATATACGAAGGTAATGATAAATTTGGAGGAAAATCTTATAATAGTTCTTGAATTGCATCACAGTCATGAAAATTAATGACATTGACGCACCACAGTGTATACACCAGCCCAGTCTAGAGAGACGAAAATCATATTGATACTTGCATATTTTTTTTATACTTAAGCAAATCTGAATTACCGATAACATTTTTATCGTGAACCTAAAATCTAGAAAACAGACAATCATTTGAAGCACAATTCAATTATTTAAAGCACTAGCTTGTGGTCTACGACATTTAAATAAAAAGAAGATGTTCTGATGATGATTTCCCCACTCTAGGATTATCTCCGGTGGGTGCATTTACAAAAATACAATTTCACAGACACACGACACCCAGACCCGGAATAACAATTTATGGACAACGCAAAGAGTTGCTCTATGCAGGTATCGAATCCGCTACACGTTGCACGGCAGCTAGTTACCACACCACCGCGCCAACCGTACAGTCAATATAAACTTAATTCAACATAAATAAAAGGCGATCACGTTTAAAGTTGGTATCTCCACTTTTGCTGCATTGGAAAAAAACTGTTTTTGCTGAAGAAGGAATAATATATTATAGAATTCATTTTTAAGTCTGCCAGCAGGATATTGGCTACCTATATTTTTTTATATATCTTAGATTTACCTGTAAAATTATTGTTAATAGTAACTCATCTTTATTTCTAGTACAAAATAATGCGTTAGCAAGTGCGCTAGTATAGTATCAATATATTTGAGCCGCACTGTAGGAGTTGCTTCAAAACGAATGTGGCGCCCCTAGTAATTTTCATGATTTTTCTCGGATGACCAAATGTGAAATTGTGAATAGACAGACTGGACTGCACGCACACTTGTCAATTTCGTCGTTTTGACAGTTGGTTTGGTTTGGTCGGTTTGGTCCGCTGGTCGAGTTTTTCCAAACCCAAACAACTCGCTTGCTTTTTAATTCCTTCCGTACCTAGTGAATCATCATCAAATAACTAACTCAAGCATCGAATTATTGAAATTAATTCGACAAATTTAGTTTCGACAGACATTTAGCAAATAAACCATGAACATTGGTTAATGAACCGAACTGAATTCAGAATAGAATAAAAATGTAACCAAAAGTCAAGCTAATTACACATAACTGTTTAGTAAAATTGTGTGTTTTATTTGCAGAGTTCATATAAATTTAGTATTAACCATTTTAGTTATTTACCATTTAGTACCATGTCTCCGAAAGGTTCTTTCGAAAATCAATATGAAGATTATTCAGCAGAGGTTGCATCTAATATCATAAATGAATCTCGAGATGGGGTATGTTATTTTTGTTTAAAACAAACTTGTCTTTGTCTAATCTATTGCTTGTAAGAGTAATAATATAATATTAATATCAATTTATATAAACTATATTTTTGTTTTTATTAACAATTTTAAATACAGTTAGAGTTTATTTGTTCTTATTATTATTTTTAATTAATTTGTATTTTGTTGTAGATATCAGATAAGTTTCAAACAAAACTGCAAAAATTTAAAACTGAGAAATTACAATATCTAAAGGCTGAAATGGGTCGTGATATATTCCATGATGGTACAGTTTACACTGGATCAGCGGGCCTAGCATTATTTTACTTAATGTACTCTGTAAGAAATGATTTCAATCATGAAATGCTCCAGGTTGGTAGTGAAAGCATATGAATCTTATATTATACTTACTATTATACAGGGTGTCCTTGAAGTCGTCGATCAAATGGCACCAGGTGATCAGCAGGGTTCCAACAGTCATCAAAAAATATTTAAAAAAAATCTAAGTCATATAATTATTAAATTACTTGACTTATGTGTAATTAACAAAAAGGTGTGCCAGTCTTTTGATGCTTACATTATTCTGAGTAGTGCTCCAGTATTATGGAATCATAAATACTGGGCCAACTGGTTTAGTTTAAAAAAGAATATCATTTTTTGATGAACCAATTATTCTCAATAAATTGATCATATTTTTTTAAAGTATGGTGAGTGGCAAATCTCACCAAAGTTGGCGCATTTAATGAGGATTCAAAAATAGTATACCACAACTATATTATTTCTTAAATTCCAAAAATAATATTTTTCAACAAAACTCTGTTTCGAACAATTTATTTGGACTTACTAAAATTTATTCTAGTGTACCTGAAGTGTCCTTTAAAACCTCATATTCACTTCATAATTACTTAAGGCATGTAGTTTTGCCATGGGACAAAAACGAAATAGACTTCACGGGGTATGAAGCAAAAATACATTGTGTGATTAGATTTGCATTCTGGCAGACCAGAGGTTATGCATTAAATGCTGAAAAAGTTGTGCACACAGTCATGTTATACTTAAAATACATTAGAATAATGCACTTACATTCCTGTAATTAATTTTATTTTTTTATAACCACAGGCTGCATTGGATTACATAGACATCGACAAATTGAAAGGCCGTAAAATTAGCTTCTTGTGTGGAGATGCTGGACCACTTGCTATTGCTGCTGTGATTTCATACAAACTTGGCGCTAAACATATTGAGCACAAGCTACCTGACTATAACATTTTAGCACTTAGGTTTGTATAACATCCTTATAAAAATCAATATCTCTGTAAGTGAGGGAATTTACCCAAACCTACAAAAGTAATCATACGACCAATTTACAAGCACAGAAGTTATTTGGACAATAGTGACTGTAGTAGCAAATAAGCCGTTATTAGTTAGGTAAGCACTTACCCAATTTATAGACTATGTCAACTACAGTCCCAATGATGGTAAGTTTATTGTTGCTCTTTATGTTGATTACAAAAATGCGTTCGACATCCTGGATCATGACATACTAATGCGTGTCATGCAGGAATGGCGTATCAGAGGTCCCAGTAACAGATGGTTTAAAGCTACCTGCAAAACAGATACTTAAAAGTACACGGAATCACAAGAGACTAAGTAAGTATGCGACTTGGCGTGCCGACCGGATCAGTTTTTAACCTGGTTGGATACGTTATACATATCAACAGTATCATTTACCGCTTGAATGCACCGATATGAGACATAATAGAAAATACATTGTGTCTTGCGTGGATTCACGTTTAGACACACGACGGGTTAACATAAAAGAACCCTGTAAAATTATGTATGCAAATGACATGTGCCTAGTGTACTTACATAGCCGGAAAAATGCACAAAAGTATGTGCAAGAGGACTTTGAAAACATAATTAAGTGAGCTCATGACAATAGCGTTATTATCAACTTATCTAAAACAAAAGTTATGTTTATAAGTTCACCTTACAATACAGTCAATAAACAAGGTAAGTTAAGCATACAAATAACGGGGCATTCATATGAATGTCTGCACCACTATAAAACTAGATGCCAGTGCATAGACATACAAGTAGTAGTACTAACCTTTACTGAAGGTAAAGTAAACTACGTTATAGCTTAGAAGTTTGAGATAAATAAATATAATAAATACAAGGAATCTTTTAAGCATAAATATTGTAACATAGAGCGAAAGAAAAATATGTGATACCTACCAAGACGGCGAGAAATTATTATTATGGTAAGAGAACAAGAAAGTAGGTACTTAACTCCATTAATCTACAATAATAGTTTATACTATACCTAATAATATAATTAGAAATCAAATCGTTTGTTTGAATTGAATCTGCTCCGAAACTACCGCACTGATTTGAAAAATTCTTTTATCATTGGAATCCTAAATTATAGATGATGAACATAGGCTATATCTATACTTATAATAAATCTGTAGAGAGGTCAATTCTGTACATAAAATATATTTAAAAAATAACTATCAAGGGGTGGTTAGGGATCGCTACTGATGCCAAAAATGCAATCAGTAAAATTTTTGACTGTCTGTCTGTCTGTATGTTCGTTATGGAAACAAAAACTACTCGATGGATTTTAACGAAATTTGGCACAAATATTGTTCATACTCTTGGGCAGGTTATAGTATACTTTTCATTACGCTACGATCAATAGGAGCAGAGCAGTGAAGAGAAATATTGGGAAAACGGGAGAAGTTACTCCATTTTTTAAGCTTCCGTCGCGTGTGCAGGTTTATAGGTTAAAGCTGCATAGAAATCATGTATGACGGAAATATTTTCCTTAAAATTATATAAAAAATATTCCTCGACAGCATATGTCTATCTTTTATAGTTGACTCACAATAACACGTGAAACTCCCGATAGCTTAGCAATTCGGTGATTTCTGATTGTACCTCTATTTGTCTACTCTAACGTTTACAATACTCATTCATAGACTTTACGCTGTAACTGAAAGGCCAATGGTTGAAATTAGCTTGACTCGATATTATAAATGAAAATATGTGAGTTTATGTGTATGTTTGTTACTCAGTCATATTAAAACGACTGAAGGGACCGGAATGAAATTCGGAACAGAGATAGATTATGGTCTGAAGTGATACATAGGCATTTTACCCCTGGGATCGCGGGCGAAGCCGCTGGCAGAAGCTAGTAAATAAAAAAAGGAAACCGTGTGAAAATTTCGATAATGTAACCAAATGTGTGAAAAGTATACCAAAAATCTCCTTGTATTGCAAGCCTTTGACTAACAAATAGAAAACTATTTTCAAGGACTAATAATAGTATTTAGCTGCATCAGAATCAGGGATTTTATAGATAAAATACATGGACTAGCTTCTGGCCACGGTTTCGCTCGCGCTCTTTTAAAGTATTGGCAGGTAGGGTTGAGCTGTAGACTACTACCAGGGTCTATAGGTGGCGGATAATGGATCGATGATGAGTTATCATCGTTAGCTGTGTCAGCAGTTCCCGACCCTACAGCAATAAGCTGCTTTAGGCTCAAAAACAAAACTGTTTACCTACACGAGGCTCATGCAGAACAATTGACGTCAATGTAGGATGTCAATTTAGGATGGCGCCGGAGGAGTACCTAGTGTACCAACGGCGGCATCCACAGGCCTAGTTAGATGGCTTACTGCATACCTACCAACCTGCATTAGACAAGCGTGGCAGGTTAACTGTCTAAACCCCTACCCAAATAACGTGAATCTCACAACAAATAATTGGCCCCAAGTTCCCGGCGTCTCTAGAAGTGACGACGCCGATGACAGTAGGCTGAATCACTCTGAAACAAGGGGCTCGTACAAACCCCGGGTGAGAACTCTTAACTGTCGAACGACTTTGGCTAATCATATGGATACCGACAGACTAAAACTATTAACATTCAATGTCAGAACTCTTCGCACCAAAAAAGGCTTATCGAATTCGAAAATTCACTATCAAATATAAAATGAGACATCATAGGTCTATCAGAGGTGAGAAGAGAAGGCGAAAAGATTATAGAGGGAGAAGACTGCATATTTTATCATATGGGAGAGAGCACCAGTCAATATGGGGTAGGATATTTGATAAATAAAAAGTGGAAAAGTCACATTGCAGAATTTGTTTCATATTCAGATCATATAGCCTTACTCAAATTTAGAATAAATCCGAATAATACCCTCACCATTATCCAAGTATACGCACCAACATCAACCCACACTGACAATGAAATTGAGGAGTTTTATGACCTCCTCAACCGAGCATGGGACGAACATAAAGGAACTGGGATGATGGTTGTTGGCGATCAACATAACATAAAAAAAAACATAACATCACGCCTTTTTATCCCCGAAGGGGTAGGCAGAGGTGCACATTGTACCACTGTACAATGTAACACCCACTTTTCACTATTTATGTTATGAGTCCCATGTAATAGGGGGTGAGCCTATTGCCATATACCGGGCACAATTCCAGACTCCGTGCTACTACTGAGGATATTTAAAAACCCAGTAATACTTTGCCCGACCCGGGAATCGAACCCGAGACCCCTTGCCCGGCAGTCGCACTTACGACCACTCGGCCAACGAGGCATATTATCACGCTATCAACTACGGGGGAGGAGCCCTATACTAGGTACTTAATCTATTCTGACGACATTCGTTACCGTAGAATATCCCTTGATAAAAACTAATTCAAAAGCATAAATTCTGCCAGAAGTCATTATTCTACGCGGACGAAGTCGCGGGCAACAGCTAGTATATAATAAATTGGATTATATAAGACAAAGACATAAAGAATTTGAGGAGTGGCTTGAGAAACGCTACGGCGTCCTCACCTACCGCCTGACGCAGGTCCTCACCGGACATGGAACTTTCGGGAGGTACCTGTGTCTGATGGGGCGGGAGGAAACGCCCGAGTGTCATCACTGCGAAGACCGCCCTGAGGACACGGTGGAACACACAGTGGGAAAATGCCCTGCGTGGGCTGAGCACCGCCGTGCCCTCAGGGAAGTGATCGGCGATGGCGACCTCTCGTGACCGGGCCTAGTGCAGGCCATGATGCGGAGCGAGGGGGACTGGGATGCCGTCTCCTCCTTTTGCGAAGCAGTCATGCTAGCTAAGGAGGAGGCGGGACGCGTGAGGCAGCGAAGCGCTGTCTCCTCGCAACCCAGCCATCGCGAAGGACACACCGGACGTCGGGGATCGCGGGACGATCTCCGGCCACCGTAAGCGCGGGCCTGCGGACGGCGAGCATGGGTGGCTCCCCGTCCGACCAGAAACAGACCCGAGCGTACGGCGCGTCGCGGTTCGCGCGCGCCTCAAAGAGCCATCAGACCACCACAGATGGGGCCCAATAGGGCCGATGCCGATTCGGAGTCGCGGAGAACCTAACGGATAACCGGGGCTCCGGCTCGACGTGCAGGAGAATGAACGGGGTGGTTTTTAGTCAGTAAGAGTCTGACACGCCCTTCCGCCTCACCCAGGCGGGAGCAATCATTCGATGATTTCCCCCCCTTAAAACAAAAAAAAAGACATAAAGAATTTAATAAGTTATGTAACAATTTAAAAAAGAATGAAAGAAGCATAGAAGAAATTCCATGTATTTATAGTGATTTGTTTGTACCTGCCGTAAAACTTACTAATAGTAAATTGTGTAGGTACATGTATAAGTTAAGAATGCCATTTTCGCCAACAAACGTTATAAGTTAAATTCATGTATCTATAAGTAAATAAATGATTTAAAACAAAAATGGTAATTCCAAATTTTCCAATATTATATGAAAGATGTAATTTAGTGTATCATTAGTTACGCTGGTAAAACTTGGTTTTAAACTTTAAACCAAAGACTATCTTGGGTGGGAAAAGTATTACATTGTATTATTTGTATTAGATACCTCTGCCCGACAACAGACTCGCATAACTATTTGCTGTCTTGGTTTTTCAGACTAATGTCTCTAATTTCTTTGATAAATGAATCACCTGATGAGCTTTTATATGGAAAATCTGGATATCTTTATGCACTATTATTTGTGAACAAACATATTTCTGTAAAGGAGATAATACCTGCGAATCATATAACAAAGGTAACTATTTTCAATAAAAAAATATGAGTTTATTTGTATCTATTTGGCGTATCAAGAAAAATAATGAAATTTTAAAAAGATGCATTTCAATTTTTTTAGATAGATTCTTGTCCCTTCTGGATAAGTAATTAGTTACCTAACGAATGATGTACTGTACACACCCGGATTTTACTATGTTATAAACAGATTGCAGAAGCAAAAAGTTATGTCAATTCTCTACTTCCAGGTAATTGATAGCATACTTATGGCCGGAAAGTGTTATTCTATAGCAACAAAATCTAAGAGCCCCTTGTTATGGAACTGGCATGATAAAGTGTATTTTGGAGCAGCTCATGGTATGGCGGGGATACTGTACATGTTGTTACAGGTAATATTTTAAGAAATAAATGAGAATTTTATTTAAAAATAGGAATTCTAAACTACTATTTATTATTAACAAACTTCAAAAAATGGAGGTCTCAGTTTGACCTGCATGTATGTGTGCGATTATCTCGCGATTGGCTTTTTTAAGGGGGGGGGGGAGCATCGAATAACTGCTCCCGCCTGGGTGAGGCGGGAGGGAGTGTCAGACTCTTACTGACTAAAAACCACTCCGTTCCTACTCCTGCACTTCGAGGCGGAGCCCCAGTAACCCGTTAGGTTCTCCGCGACTCCGTATTGGCATCAGCCCTATTGGGCGCGGAACGCGACGCGCCGTACGCTCGGGTCTGATTCTGGTCAGGCGGCGAGTCACCCATGCTCACTCTCCGCAGGCCCGCGCCTACGGTGGCCGGATATCGTCTCGCGATCTCCGATGCTCGGAGTGTCCTTGGTTGTGAGGAGGCAGCGCTTCGCTGCCTCCTCCTTAGCTAGCATGACTGCTTCGCAAAACGAGGAGACGGCATACTAGTCCCCCTAGCATGGCATCAAGGCCCTTACTACGACTTAAAATTGAGTAACGTTTCAGTATTCCGGCATTAGTATATTAATTAACCGACTTAAAAAAAGAAGACGGAAGAAAAGGTGTTGAAGTCGGATTTTTTAAACGTAGTTTATAAAGTAATAACTATTTATTGTTTTGAAGTTAGGATTATAAATCAAGGACATTACCTAATACTTTGTCAGATATTACTTGGAAACCAGTGTAAGCCAAACACTACAAACAAATGGGTTTACTTTAATTCTTTCAATCCTTTGAAAGAATTCTCAGTTTAATGTACCTGCTCAATTTTTTTGTTTCACCTTGTTCCAGGCCCGATCATATATTAACATAAAAGAAATACGGAATTACATTAAACCAACATTAGACTGGTTAATGAATCAGCGCTTTCAAAGTGGCAACTTCCCGTCGTCCTTGGGCAGTACGTCGGGAGATAAACTAGTACAATGGTGTCATGGCGCTCCAGGATTTGTAGCTTTGTGCATTTTAGCTCACCAAGTAAATATAAAAATTATATAAAATCATGTATTACATTTTTAGTAGGTTCAAATACATTAAATTGTTACAAGATTAATTGAATCCTCTATTAAACCATGTCATTTCAGGTTTTTGATGAAGAAAAATATATGAAAATAGCTCAGCAGTGTGGAGATGTTATATGGCAAAGAGGCTTAAGCACAAAGGGATACAGTATATGTCATGGTGTGAGTGGGAATGCATACGCATTCCTACAACTATACCAGGCTACAATGGTATGTAGAACATGTTCGTTAGGTAACTAACTTACAAATTGGAAGATTCAATGCCAATTCTCCCCCGGTGTGGCACTGGGCCTTAAATTAATATCATAACAACTTCATTTTCCAGAAACCTGAATATCTCTACCGAGCCTGTTGCTTTATGGAGTGGTGTGCTGTTGCACGCTTAGGCACAGAACTGCATCACCCGGATAGACCAGCGTCATTGTTTGAAGGACTAATAGGGCGGCTTTATTTAGCTGAAGAAATGACTCACGTTTTAGAAGCAAAGTTCCCAGCATTTACTTTGTAGATTAAATTCTATTTAATTAAATAATAATACCTCATTGTAAAAATATTTAATAGTTTTAATTCTTATTTATACTTATATAAGATTCATTAATATCACCCAGCGTAGATTACATAACACGTAAATAATGCTACCAGGCAGGCGGCAGTCCAACAATTAAGCTTACAATATTATAAAATATCTTATGCATATACATGATAGTAGATATTTTGTAAATACTAATTTGAACACGTTACATAATAATTAAAAATAAACTTTAATTTTAAAAGGAGATCATTCACACTTCAAACAAATATACCCAAATTTTAAAATGTGCCTTGTTAAAAGTATGTGCATATTTCGCTAGACTAATTTTTTATTACATTACATACGTTTTTTATCTTGACACACATTTAGTCAGTTTGGAAACAAGTTTTATACGAATTGTCACATTCAAAGGCAGAAAGCGAGTTGCTCAAAAATAAATCATAACAATATCTATAGTTTGTAATGCTTATTTACACTTACATCTTTGAACTTGTACAACGGTGAATGATCGATAGAATTCCTTTCAGCCTTTGGTACATTTTGGATGAGTCCTATACTGGAAACAGTCTAACATTATTATTATAAATATGAGACGTCAATTATAGAATATATCAAGAAAATAACATTAAACAATAGAATACAGTAGTTATTATCAGTATAAATGAATGTGTATATAAGCCTACACACCTTAACAACGGTGAAACTGGCGTCAGATGACCTTTGAGAAGCTTCACAAATGCCTGAGACCAGTCTTGCCACCTATTACGTATCATTAGCTTAGAGCAAAAAGTTAATGATGCTATAAAAACTGTGACCTGTATGGGTACCATATAATATAAAGCCCGTAATTTTAACACCAATAGAAGTTCAGTCGAGGCGTTGTGCATAACGTACAACTTAGTAGTTGTGAATAAAATACATAGTAATGCTTTGTTTAACGACCGAAATAAGACCAGTATGCTATTACAATTATATTAAAACTAAGAAATGTGATTGCGTTTTCTAGACATAGCAGATATATAAATCAGTTATTAGCTTCTTAAAACTAAATAAAATGCAGTTATCAAATAACGAAGAAATTAAGGATTCTCACTTTCAGGTGCCACCATGAATGAGTAGCTCACATTGTTATACATATTATGACTGTACATAAAATTCTTAGTGTTCAAGAAATAATTAATGAAGACTAACATTGAACTTGGTTCGAAATTTCAATAAGGTTAAAGAGTTGCAATATTTCTATGGATCTTGCTACCAATTCATAATTTTGAACATTGCCCATATTCTAATCTGCAAACCTTTTTCAATCCTATTATAGGAAATTTAAGGGAATGAGTATTACGCAGTTAACCCGTACAATACATTACAAGTTGTGATGTTGCCATATTTTCGGTATTCGGCAACATCAAATCACTATTCGTGGCGACTCTAATTACAACTACATTATATCTGCCAATGGTTACATAAAAATATCTACTATTGACGTTTACGTCTATAATCCCTAAGTTTTACCGAGAGATTTTAAGTGTATCGTTACTATTATGTAAATACATTATTATTAATTAAAAAAGAAACTATTTTTAAAATAGGAATTTTTGGGCTAACCATTCCTAGTCCCTACCTTCTGTAACACAAAATTGGCAATTATACTGTAGTGTTAATTACTCTAAAGATATTTATATTTCAAGCTGCTTTATATTATATATAAATAATATTACTTCTTTTTAATTAGGTATTTAACTACATGATATTATAAATAAATGTATGTACAATACAATAATAACATGATTGTTGGCAACATTGAAAAAGGTATCGTCGAACCATTTCAAATTAGACGAGATAATTTCAAAACACAAAGCGAATAGGCAACCTAAACAAATTGTAAACCGATATCCAAAATTGGTTTAAAGCGAGAAATAACAGATGATAGTATCTACATACAAACTTATAAAATTTGCACAGTGGAAGTATATACTTATTTTAATAGAGTACAAAATAGCTAATAAAGTCTTATACCTTATATAATATTATGTACATACATTATTATAAAGAGTTTATTTGTTGTCAGATTTGATAAATAGAATAAGTCAGAAGTAAAGAAATTGTTACATTTTCAGGATGCGTATAGTAAAATATGAAAATTGCAATTAATACTTGGACGATTGTTTAATCCTATTACATTAAGTATAAAATTGATCGAGTAGCTACACATTACGGGTAATATTATTTGTACATTTATCGTAGCTTGTTGTTGTCGGTTCAGTGTAAGATTGTACCTGCAGGGTCAGAGCAGGGCAGCGCCTGCCTCGGCGCGCGAGTGCGGCAGCGGCGGGCCTGCGCGCCAGGCGTTGTCGCGCGGCTCGTACAGCTCGACGCTGGCCAGCGTGGTGCGCGCGCGGTAGAAGGCGCGCTCGCCCGCGCTCTCGCTGTCGCCGCCCGCCACCACCAGCACGCCCTCCGCCGCCCCCGCCGCACACCCGGCCCGGGCCTCCTTCAAACTCGCAACTTCTTCCCAACTTCCCTATAAAAACATTATCCATTTTAATATTACAATTTTGTAAAATACGAAGTTTGGCTTCTAACTGGCACAGTATTTTATGTTCTTTAATTACTTACCTCATCAAAGCTGTAACGTTCTACTGACGTGAGAACTGTGCGCCTTGGCGCGTTGCCGCCGATGACATACAAGTAGTTGTCGAGAACGACCGCGGCAGCCTGACTACGAGCGTGGTGCATTGGTTTCAGAGAGTGCCATTTACGAGATGCCGGATGATAACATAATAAATCCCTTGTGTGTCGCCAAGTGTGAGTACATCCACCGACTATGTATATTAGACCTAAAAATAAAAACAAAAAGTCATAGGTCAACATTGCAACTAGTTAACTGTTGAAACTTGAATGAAATATATATTTTTCGGGAAATCTGTTTACCTTCAAAATTAATAACACCCATTCCAAATCTTGGCTCGGGCATTCTACCCACCAACGTCCACTCATCTGCGACTGGATCATACACTTCAACAGAAGAGCCCATGTCTGATCCCACCCAGCCTCCAAAAGCATATAAATTGCCATTCCAACCTGTCAGACCAAACTCACATCGTGCTTCTTTCATTGGAGAAATATTTGACCATTTATCAGTCTGAAACGAGCAGAAGTAATACAGAATTACCCACATTTTTAAAAAATTTAACTATGCCATATTTTATTTATTTATTTTTATATGTAACTAGCTGACCCGGCGAACTTCGTACCGCCTAATTATTGGAGGCATATTTAGTAAGTACACACGACACAATACTATTTTAAATTTCATTGAAATTTGTTGCTTTTAGATTTTTAGAAATATTAATTAAAGAATCTTCTATACATATATAATTCAAAGGTGACTGACTGACTGACATAGTGATCTATCAACGCGCAGCCCAAACCGCTGAACAGATTGGGCTAAAATTTGGCATACAGATAGATGTTATGACGTAGGCATCCGCTAAGAAAGGATTTTTATAACTACTTAGTCATATATTTTTTTATATTTGATGGGCCGATGTTTGATCACTTATATAATTTTAACACCATTCCATACCTTTCAAAAAATAAATGCCGAATAGAGAACGAAAACAAAATAAAATCTACAGTTTCGATGAACTGACTTATCGTACCGTAATCTCTTACCTGAGGATCGTATACTTCACCATTGGCAAGTATTTGACTTCCTTGTTCACCCCCGACGGCATAAACCCGCCCTCCTAAAGTGGCCACACCTGGCTGGATTCGTGCTATACCCATTGGTGAAAGCTCCTCCCATTCTCTTAAATGAAAAATATACATATTCTCATTTATATTGTATGTAATTACATTACATACAAAATGTTTTACATAAGAATAACAAAGGTAGACCACCTTTGTTACTTAACTTTGCTTTAATTACAAAAAAGTTACCGTTTATGTAGATCAAATTTTAGCACTGAAGAGAGAATGTTGTCTTGATTGTAGTGTGTCGATAGTGGTGGGTGCGCAGCTTTGTCTCGGCATGACCCTCCGGCTAGAAGTAATATACGCCGTGCTCGCTGACGTGGTTCCACCAACAAAGATACCAAGGCACCACGACGAGTTTTCTAAAAAAAATGCAATAAGATTTCAGGGAAATATTTGAGAAAAGTCCGGGCGAATTTAAAAGCTAGGTACCTAAATAATAAGAAATACCTTACCATATCAACTCTCGCTGTTTTAAGAGCGACAGCAATAGAAGGATCTTGTACATTTTTGATAGCTTGATCTAAAACTTGTGGCGAAATAAGTGGCAGTCGTACGTGACTAAGTACTTCGAAACAGTGCCGTCTGCGACATGCTGGCTCATGCTCTAGCCATCGTAGTGCTGCATATAGAACCTAAAATAAGGATTATTCAGAGTATTTTATAATTTTAGAATAATAAAAGTAAATGCAGTTGTAGCAAGAACAATTAATCACAATTAATTACAATCAATTACAAGAAGTGATCAGAGAACCAGTTCAGGTCGCTTCACAGTGATGCTTGCTTTGTAGTGAAAGATATAAGAAAACGTTTTCCATCAGTTATGGTGTTTATGTTTCGTTTAATTAACAAAATGGAAATATATTAATTTTAGGGGAGTGCTATGTTCAGCAGTGGACATGTTGTGGTTGATATGATGATGGAAGTTTTAATTTGTTCAGCAAATAATAGAATTAATCCAAAAGTGAAAATGTGTGTTTACCTGAGCTTCACTGTCAACTTTTAATTGTTCAGAAGAAAGCAATGTTATTAGCTGTGGTAATGGTAATTCTAAAAGCTCATCACCATTAGATACTATGTTCCAGTTGGCTTGAACATGCTCTAGTGCTTCTTTTACCAATTCAATGCAGTTGTGAGCTTCTGCAAACCTAATATAATGAAAGCAATTTTATAATGAATTAGTGTATCAACGAATAATAATTAACTAAAATCTCAGTGTATGGGAAACTACATAAGTGATAGTTGATCATTGTCACACACACATTGGAAAGTAACATAGCTAATGGATATGATAGATTTTGTAGTGAATGTCTGGAGTTGCATAATTATTGATCTTGTTGTGTCACATAGTTTTGTAACAAATTCAAAACTATAATAATTACAGGTAGCATGACTACTGAAATAGTATCAATTGAATATATACTATAATAACAAAAATAGAAGATATAATCTTAACAGTATTGACATGAATGCAAATGAATTGTAAAGCTGCAATCAGACAACACCAACAGTTCATAATTTTAATACAATGAGGCCGTGGGTTTAGGTGCATATTTGCTTACTTACTGTAAACAAACTAGAACCAAAATGAAGTGCCTAATAACAGTCAATAGTGACGGGGGCGCCAAAATAATTTAGGGGCGCCTATGAGGTGCTTGTCTGGGCGCTCTCGTGGTTCAAATCTGCCTCTGACCTCACAACGAAATTGAGCAAAAAAGTTAAACAAAATGTAACATGACAAAAGTGTGAAATTAAAGAGTATAAGAATTGGTAAAATATTTACCTATGCATATTTATCCACTACGGAAAAATAAGAATGAAACTTACCTAAATATTCCTAGAGCATTTGTGTGGTGTAATTCTCTCCTAAGGAACTCCCCACATCCTGTTACAAGTTCTCTTAGTTGAAGCATATCAGCAGCAATCAATAAATGTTGGACAGTACTCTTGTCAATTACTATTTCACCTACAAAAAACAATCTTATACTATTATATAAATTTGAAGAGTTTGTTTGTTTAAAGCCTTAATCTCCAGAACTACTGGTCTAAATTGAATACCTAATTCTTTTTGTTGTTGATAATCCATTTATCGAGGAAGATTATAGGCTACCATCAATTGGAGCCGAGCGGCGCGTTAAACCGCGTAGGAGTAGCTAGTATAGTTATAGGCCTCCATAAACCAACATTTCAAAAAGCTTAAGAATACCCAAAAAACACCTAGAGTCAATTAAAATCATTTATGTAATACTACATATTTAAGTAAAAGGTAGCTTCAGCTAAATCCAAACAGGCCAGCAGCATATCAATTCTTTAGGGCAGGGTGCATGAATAACTGGTTTATTGTTTTGTTACTATCTTATTAATATATTAACAAAATCCTCAAATTTGTTCATACAAAAGTAGTCTCTAAACATCGGAAATAAGGTCTATAATGCAGTTAGTGGAGAGTGGTCACCAGTGACCCCTTGGGGATTAAAAGTTAATGAAACCTTAATCTCTTTTATCCATTAATAACACAGTAACATAAGACAATAATATACATACGGAATTACATTTATGACAATTACAAGCAAACCCCTCAAACCTACAAGATTGCTCAAGATTGTCATTATCATACTACCAATTGATTTTGTTAAAAAAATCTGTATAAACTGCCCTAATCATACAATGTTCAACTCATGATACAATTAGTCATAATTTTTTTATTGCTTGGTGATGGTTTAATCGAAAACAATGATTGGATTTGGGAATATACTAATTATGTTTACTCTACCTTGCCAACATAAATCATTTTAATAGATTCTGGACTTGTGCTTCATACATTTCTGGGCATTCTTCTATCACATGTATATCTAAACCAAAAGCAAGTAGGTACCTAAGTACACTATTTTTACCTGTATAAATAAAATCAATTATCATTGGAAGTATATCAGGGGGAACACTTGGCAAAGCAACATATCCCTTTTGTGTTTCTTCTAAACCCACATTAAACATAGCATCAAAATATGCACAGCTTGCTGCTAGTACTACCCGATGGGCCTGAAAATTAATCCAATATGTAGGTATAAATATCTGGTTAATTGTGTGATATTAGTTGTAAGTACTCATGATGGGAGAAATATTATATTATAAATTTTTATTTAATTACATCACATTAACACAAAAAATAATAAACAAAACTTAAATTTAGAATTGACATCTTTGCTACTTCTGACGTTTCTAATCTTTGATAACCTAGGTATTTTGTTATTCCTAACTAGTTATTACAATATGCAATAGTATAATACCCATATTTGTTACAATGTATATAATTTAAAATACTGATGAGAATGTTATTTATTTATCACCTGTATGATTTGCCATACAACACCCTATTTTGTTTATAGAATAGTTCAACCATTGAGAAATTAGGAACATGAAAGTTATTCTACTAATATTATGATATTGAGCTTGATAGATATGATATAGAATTGGATAGATATTGCTTATTCAAAATAATTCTACAGCTTACCTTAATTCTTGTGGAACCTGATATTAAATCTATATCACAAAATCTTCCATCTTTTTTGAAATGATGTAAATTTGAAGAAATTTTGTTTGCGTAGTCGCAACATTTGTAAGGTCGAGCTCCATCTTTGGCTGTGCATTTCTCATATGCACTTGTCATTATATATATGGAAATAGAAATACACAATTTACAAAAAACGATATAATATAAACAAAATGTTTGAAGATGATATTATTAATATTAAATGTCTAACAAGTACTTTTATTTTGACTATTATCACTGCGTTGATACTTCGTAAACGGTAACTGCAATGAGCTACCTTCTTTTTTGACTTTGGCATCTATTGACTAAATTGACTTTGAGAGAAGGGAAATAATGACATTGACTGACACTTACACTCAAAGACTTACTATAATATACTAAATCTATGAGCGCATGACATGTCATCATGTGCGCAAAGTAAGTTTCGGTATTTTTTGTACTTAAAAAAATATCTAGTCGGTTAACACATCGACTGCACTAATATGATAAAGGTATGTTATTATTACATCTATGATCGACTGAACTATGGGATTATTTATTTATTTATTTTTATGCACATGCATAATTATTTTACAGCACAAGCCAAAACATTATATACAGTGAAACAATAAAAATTACTTACTTGCTACTTTTAATAGGTATCTCATGGAATATTATTGTATTTCATCCATTATTGGGAACTATGGATGACTATGGCACCTGCCGAAACAATGTAATTTTTACACGTAAAAATGGCAGGCGGAGACTCGCCAACTCACCGACCGGGCCCCGGGAATGGTTGCTAGATATATCATCCATTATCATTATTATCAATTATGGATTTTATTAAGTAAATTAAATGGTTTATTTTCATTCATAAATATAGCAGAACTTAGTAGATTAGTATCATAGTTGGACACATCATTATTTTATCATCGATACTGTCATTTGACAGTATCAGACAGAAGACTAATGACATTGATATTTGTCAATGTCATCTTAGTGTCATTTTTTCATTGTTGTTGCTTGTTGAGTTGTTGTAAATGTGAAAATAACTTTTTGTTAACAATGAATTACCCGATTCATAATTAATATTAAATATTCATACATATATCAATTAAAAGTTTTGTTTAATATGTTAAATAACGTATTACTTTCTTCGGACGTCGCGCTAGTTTGTGTTCAACATGCGTTGTCCACAGAAAAAGAAGAAATTATGGGCCTTCTTATTGGGGAGGTACACTAAACATTTGTAGACGTGATTTTAATAACAAAGGCACTGTTTAAATAGTTAAGCATATATAACTGAATATTTCACAGGTACACAACAAAGGTACTGTGGTTTCGATAGTGTCTTCTGTAATTTTACGACGCTTGGACAAAAAGCCCGATCGTGTTGAAATATCTGAAGAGCAGTTAGTGCAAGCTACTCTGCGTGCTGAAGAATTAGCAGCCGAAGTCAATCGGCCACTAAGGGTAGTAGGATGGTACCATTCCCACCCTCATATTACAGTGTGGCCTTCACATGTCGGTAAGTTTCATGTAACTATTAAATATTATTACGATTATAAACACTTTTTATTTTCTCAATTGTAAAAAGTCATGTTCAAATTTTTATTTTCTTTTCTAGATCTTGCTACACAGTCTATGTATCAGAGGATGGATAGCAGCTTTGTTGGGCTTATATTTGCAGTATTTCTCTCAGATCAGACAACAAAGGCTCCTTCCGTAATTTTTTCATGTTTAAATTATATTGTATTATTATGATAGAGCTAAGGAAACCTGGTAATGATACATGTAATGTACTATTATTTGTTCACAGATTCAAATAACCTGTTTCCAATCTGTAAATGATGGCTCAAATCAGAGTAGAAAAGAAATTAAATTGGAAGTTATAAATAATAATGACCCTTTATTGTCAAACAATTTTGAGGTAAGTATTTAAGTACAGATTAGGTTTACTCTTTACCAAGTAATATATCAGTATTAAATATTAATGATCTTTCCGTTGAGAAGGTTCAGATACCAGCATATTAACTCACTCCCTACCATCTTTTAATAGATTATGATCTTGATCTTATAACAAATAAAGTTGAAATTGAATAAACAGGCCAATCAGAGTAGGTTTACCTGCTAGTGTGTGTCAGAAAGTACGTATACGGGGTGTAAACGGAACAATCCCAAAAAACGCCAACAAGTGATGGTAAAAAACAAGTTTTATTTTCATAAAAGTAAGGAATTAAATGTTTCTTTTAGGTAACAATAATTGTAATCAATAATTCCTCAAGGCTAAGGTTGCATGATTAACATGAAAACAAAAACAATTAATTGTAAAAACAATTCCTGTTTGTCAGTGTTTTTTGTTTGTTTGGGAGTGTTCCGTGTTCACCCTGTATTCTCTCCATCTGTATATGAGATAAATGAAATTTAGTTTAATTTGGACTATATATGTGGATTATAAAGAAATTCACATTTCAAACTTAAAAATAATTGATTTTTATAGTGTTTTTAGTATTAGCAACTTTGTTAGGTATATCTAATATCTAAAGTAATAATTACAATATCAACACTAATCAGAGTTTGTACATGACATTTGGTTAAACTTTGAGTCAATAATAATAATAATTATTATTATATAGAAGGATAATATCAATTGTTACAATTACTTGTATTAACTTATTTTAGACATTGACACAGCTGCCAGCAATATTAAAAGAGGAGGAAGATGAAGCTTTTGGCAGTAAAGCGGAAACAAATGATATTGATGACATAATTAACCGACAACATAATGCAGCAGTCAGAACTATAGCAATTGGACATATAGTTGATAAGGTAAACCAGTCTTAAACATTAGAGTTAAAATGAATAAAAAATCAAATCAAAGTAAAATTATGTTTTATATACTTGGAAAGGTTTTCTTCCCTATATAGAGTATGCATAATATCTGGGTAAGATGGTAGATTACCTAACAATAAAAATATATATATCAAAATGTTACAACACTCTTATCATTTTGACACATTACAGGTACCCAAATTCAACCAATAATAAAGATGCATATGTGACTAACTAAATCCGCAAAAATATTAATAAAATTATTTTAATCAGGAACAAAATTTGGAACAAATATCACTTTATGACTACTAGTTTATTATTAGGTATTCTCTATATTTTCGAACTGACATACAATCTAATCTACCAAAACATAATAAATAATTATGTACATATTGTAATATACATATAGGTATAAAAACATTATTTTATGTAGTAGGTGCTTCTAAACAGACGTTACTGAGAAAACGATAAATTTTTTATTTTGTTTTTCAGATGTCCAGACCCATGTTGGAAGGCCTTGTAGCAAGAAATACTCTTAATATGGTACGCTTGAAAGCACTAAAAAGGCAACACCAGGAAATGATGTCTAAGCTAGAAAATATGTCTTGCAATGTTTAATTTTTTTTTTTTATTATTTGATATGCCACTTATAAACCTTTTGTTTCCCATTCATTGTTACATATAAATGCTTGTTGACACACATTCTTTTAACTTGGTCAAAACATGTACAATGTTACAAAAGTCCCATCAACATTAAAACTTGAATAACCTTTCGACCACCAGAAAAATGTATATGATATACCCATATTGTTACTTGATTCAATGACTAAAGGACAACTCATCAAGTTGTTGAATGTACCATTCAATGTCCTGACTTAACATCAGTTTAAAACAGGATTATTTATTTGGTTAGGGTGACCATGAGTTTGGGGGAGTTGTCCCTTTCCACTGATACCAGTAAGACAAGGTAACTTACCAGAAAGTTACTGTACTGTACTAGTAAACTAGTTTTCATATTCTTACTTCAAAACACTCATAAGCTACCTGAAATCAACAATATCGCTAACTAGTTGGATGCTTGTTCATGATAAGCCAAAAAGTGCCCAGCACGCCACAATCACGACGACGTGACGTAAAAAGTTTTACTTTTTATTTTCTATACTAATTATTATTTTATTTATTAATTGACCTTTATAATTTTTTCTATGTGATAAGCCGGTAAACGAGCAGACGTATCATCTGATTGTAAGAAATCGGTGCCGCCCATGGACACCTGAAACACCGGAGGTATTACAAGTGCGCTACCGGCCTTTTGAGGATTGGGGAGACTGGGGAGGGGTGTAATCGGGCTTCTGGTAATCTCACTCACACGACGAAACACAACGCAAGCGTTGTTCCATGTCAGTTTTCTGTGAGGCCGTGGTATCGCTCCGGTCGTGCCTGCCCATTCGTGCCGAAGCATGGCTATCCCACACTTCCCCCAAATATAATTCGTCTATAATTACTTTAGATGACAAAAACTTACGACAAATTCTAAAAAACTATTTGAGCATGAATTCTTAACTTAGCGCTGTGGGTGAGTGTCTGCTTTTTTTAACATGGCGGTCAAAAGGTTAAACCTGTAAGGTATTAATAATTGGACCACCAATGTAAATCAGTTCCATTTGTATTTACATTTTTGACAAAGTTTGGTAATCTTTTTCGATGGTGTTGCTTCCACCCCTTTACCCTTACTTTTTTTTTTAGCTAATTTTACAATACACATAAATTACAATAGCAATATTCCAAAAATAAAGAAGTGAAATATAATGAAACATAAAACACTGTTAACACAATAAATATGTCTGCTTATTAAAATTACTTTTTATGTCTACATTAATTGTTTTATTTGTTAAGATAAGTCATTTTTGTCGATCATCTCAAAACCATCAGAAGAATCTATACTTGAGAGTCGATTCCTTTTAGTTGTGCTAGATTCTGGTTGTATCATATTTGCCACAGCTCCAGTAATGTTCCAAAATGTGTTGTAGGCAGTAGAGCTCCATGTGCTGGTTGGTTCTACTACTTCTAATGTAGATTTCACCTTTTGTTTTTGTTTCAGCTGGTCTAAAATAATAAAAAATAATTTTATTTGTTTAAACCTGTATGACTTGTTATAAAAGTACACTACAAATAAAGTTGTCATCCTAGATATCCTTTTTAATTTTGTATTTGTTGAGACATGCTGACATTGTATTAGAATCTTACAGTTTCTTAAGTTTCCATTCATTCTTCATCACCATTTATAAAATAATCATCCATTGAACTTGCCTAAAGGAATGTAGTCATCTTCACTGGTGTCGGAAGAATCAACATCTTTATCCAGAGTTTGCATTTTCTCCATAGAAAAATTTGTAACTAATGAGCTGCTGTTCTCAGAACTGTCACTGCATTCTGCCAATGGCACATCTTCTGGTTTCCAGTAATCTGTTCATATACATTAACAATGTTATCAGGAAATGATCTTATAAGTATATTACATTATCCATTAAACTGTCAAACACCAAGCGGTCACTGGTGACCGCGACCTATTGTTCTTTAATTGTGTCTATAAAACCGGTACTCGACGAGTTAAATTGCACAATTGTAATTAATTTTAATTTAATATTTTTTTTGTTAGCTTACTGTAATTACAATTTCTGAACAAGATATTAGTATACTTTACATAATTATGTACTTCTAATCAATGATTGATCCCCTTTTTGATAAATTCAAATTCAAAAGAATTACCATAAATTTGTCTTTCATCCATTACTGGAACTGGATCAGGTTCAATAGATAACAGTTTAATGTCAACTTCAGACGCTTCTGGAATAAGACCTTCCAATTCAAAGTCAGATTCTGAAAATGAAACAAAACAAAAGTATTACACAAAGTAAAATACTTAAATTTTAATAAACTAAAATACGAAAATGAGTTAGTTACCAAAGTCTTGTCTCATATTCTTGCAAATTTTAATAATAGGTAATATTACTTTATAAAATAGACATATAGACATTAACAAGATGTATATTAGTATATAGCCGCTAATGTATTTTCCAGTGAGAAAAGTTATAATCAGGAATATGTTGATTAAAAGGAAAGCCTGGAACAGAAAAATGTTGTAATATAGACATTTTAAGCAACTAGAATATTTATATTATAACTTTCGTGAGACATATAAAATTAATTATTATGGTAGGAGTAGTGTGACAGTCGCCGCATCACTGGTTGCAGAATGCAGCTCATGAATGAGCCTCTGGTATGGCTTAAAACTAGTCAAATTCTTCATCAAATAATTAGATGAATCCTATTGTAGTAATTTAATTAAAATGGGAAAGATGAAGAAGACATAATATATAGTCAGCTGATAATCTGGCTTTTGTAAAGCAAACATTATGGTTTAACACATGAGCATATCATTAGAATAAAGATAAAAAAGCTATTATAAATTAATATGATATTTAATAATAATTGTCATATCTATCAGAAGTAAAATGAATGGTAACTGATAATAGTACCATTAGTGCACAATTAGAGTGTTGCTAGAGCTGTCTATATACCTATAAGCTTAGACTTCCTACTCCTAAGGGTGCTCTAGAGGCTTGTTGTCACTCACTGGTCAGTGGTCACCATCACACAAATTCTTTCCATCTTTTATTTTGTTTGAAACAGTAATAACTGACTACTTCATTTTAATGCTATTTGCATTACACATAATAAAATTTATCATTAAATAAATATTTAGATTTTGCATTTCCCAAGTTATTGTTATAATAAAATAAATACTTACTTTAGTATGATTTGTTTCTCTTAAATACAAGAATTCATTCCATCTATTCTTGAGCCATAGTTTGAATTGTAACATCACCGAAGTTATTTGATCTCCATGGCCAGACAACTTTTTTAAACATCCAGTTCTGTGTTTATATTTAAGCCAGCTTTCAAATGCATCAATGCTTACTATTGCCGTGCATGAAATTGAAATGAATTCTAAAAGGTTGACTTGCTGATGAACACTTACACTGTTAAAAAAAAAATTATAATAGTTTACAAATATTAGAATACTAAAAGCAATTAATTAGGTTAACACTTACAGAAATATAATATTCAGGAGAAAAATAAATAATAAAGACATCCACATTCTCTTCCAAAATAAAACATTTTCAAGTAAACCAAGAAATCCTGCCAGTAAAAGTGATGTCTGAGTGTTTTTGTTTTCCAGTGATTTGGATGTATTCCATTTTAAAGCTTTTTTTAAAGATGCTAACATGAGTGCAATTCTAGTAAATATATTTTAAACACAAAAAATACAACAGGAACTAAGACAAAGATAAAATAAACTAATGGCGATTCAAAATGTTATTCAATACAGTGTTGATTTGTTTGCTTTGTCTTTCAAATGTTTCAAATGGAAATGGCACTGTCACTATTTATTAAACGTCAGATAGTGTTGTAGCAACTGCCATAATATAAATTGACAATTCGTTTTTTAGCCATACTCGACTAAATCTATGTGTCGTCTTTATTTACTAATAGGCGAAAAATAGGTGGTATAATGCATTACTTTATAACTATAATGTAAGAAACAAGGTAAATAACTGTAGAAAAATTCTTATTTTTAATTAATTGCTTCAAGAAAAAATTAGTACTTCTGTAGCAAATGGTTAGTCTGGCCATACGTCCATGGTCTGGCCAATGAAAGCTGTCCAAAAAATGGCGCCAATTTAAAAAATCAAGTGCTACCTAGGTAGAAAAAAAAAACAAAAATGGTACCACTTTGCGGAAATTCATGCTACTCTGTGTTTTTAAGATTTTATTATTATTGTTATTTGGCAAACTCATAAAAACATGTTAATATGTAGAAAACCCCGGAACACAATTTAATGAGCTTTGGCACAGTGAACCATGGCTGTAATAGCTTCCAAACAGAAGTAGTTAGACCTGTGGCGAATGTGGGTACGTGGCCCAAACATTTTTGTTCACCATCCTCTCCGAGGTTACTACTAAAAATAAAAATAACAATAAAATAGAAGTCATTAAGTTTTTTTAGCTAATATGATCTAAACCAAGCTCGGCCTCGTACTACTTTCCGTTTTCATCGTAATGTAAATATTTTTTTTGGTGATTGATAGCCTGTAGATAGATTGGTAGGTATTATAGGTACACAAGTGAGCTGTGAGATACGGTAGATAAAGTTTAATGTCATTGCAATGTTAATTTCTTAACACATACGATAGACAACAAGATTAACATTTTGTGTTTATTAGTAGGTACTTTATTGCATCTAGGTAGGTACCTAGATACAATAAAATCGTAATATCTACACGGATACATGAGTGCTAGAAAAGACAATGTGTGTAAGTCAATTTCATAAACAACACATTAATGTTACTTTAAATCACTATTGTATTATTAACTTCGATTGTTTACGAACGTACGTTGGTATATGATTATGTTTGTACCTATATAGATGTTTAGTTTGCACACCGCGACTGCGCAGCTCGCCTCCGCAGAACCCATCCATAATCACTACATAGGTTTACTCCCCCCACACGACGCGACGGCGCAAACGGATACGCTCCGTTAGCAAAGTACGACGTCCTCGCCGTAGTATGACATTTTAGAGATTTTCATATAGTATTGTAAACGGGATAGATTTTGCAGTTACAGCTAGTAGTGACTTGAAGAGTTATTTGATATTTTTTCCAAGATGCTGCGACGCGACATCAGCTACATTTTAAGGAACAAGACATTTGTACCGGCTCTCTTTGCAAAAGGTATGCTGTTTTAATGTAATATGTTTAGATAATATTTTTTTGCGCAAACGGGATGGGGTGTAAGTATTTACTTATGACAATGGTAAAAACTTTTTGTCATGTAACGTACAGGTTCCCTTATTTAACTTAGTAGGTATCTAACTGAAATTTGACTCAATATCGGATATTTTACCACTAATAACAAATATGAGATTTCCAGCAAAGGACAATTTTTCTTTGCCTTGTCATACCTATAAAAAAGACAATGGTTTTATCTATATAGCCGAACTAGTCGATCTCAAATTATGGTGGAACTACGGGACGAAGGGTATACTACTGAATAGCACTGGTACCACCAGGTACGTTACTCTACTTTGCCACCGTGTCCCTTGTCTAACTAAGAAAATCTTTGCGTACCTACTGCACAGTACGGCAATGTTTAGATTTACTACTTTACTAGTAATCTTTTTTCTTCAACAGAATGTCGGAATTATGGAACTTCATATTCTACGGTGCACCAGGAACCGCCAGGTCCTCTGATAAAGACAGAAATCCCCGGACCAAAATCAAAACAACTCTTAAAAGAAATGATGGATATTCAAGTATGTGAATGAACATAATTTTTTACCTATTTAATACGTCTTAGGTTTCCTAGAACTTTAACTTCAACTTATTTACCAAAATAACACTTTTTACAACTTTTGTTTGTCTGTATTGGCTAATTTCTGTAATGGCTGGACCGATTTCGACGGTATTTTATTGGAGTAACATAGACTACTTTTAATATAGAAAAACGCAACGGCTTTGCACTTACAACTAGTAATTAATCTATAGGTACTAATATTATAAAGAGGAAAGATTTGTACATATTTTTGTATGTTTGTAATGAATAGGCTCAAAAAGTACTAGGGCCGATTTAAAAATTCTTTCACCAATAGAATGCTACAATTTGACATGGGCTACATGTCATTTTGAAAAAAATTAGGGATCCTTGGTAAAATTTGAACAATGTAACCGAAGGTGTAGAAAAATAACTCTTAAAATGTCTTTCGTCGAATGCGCTGCAGAAACTATTAGCAATAGAACAAAATAATGTACAACAATATTGAAGAACATCATAATGTCTAGAAAAAACTCCGCGGTAGCATATGTCCAACTATTGTGGTTATATCACTACAACAATCCAAATTTCCAAAAATAAATAATTGTCTACCCCGTGCGAAGTCGGGACGGGCTGCTAGTAGATAATATATAAATCGATAAATAACAATTTAAAGGTTAAAAGATAAACAAAAACAGAAATATTGGAACGCCCACAGATAGGTTAATACTTTCGGAAATGTAATTCTTACATAATTTTTTCCTAGATGAGTGAAAATACGCCCGAAAAACATCATTAGCTTTCACGGTCTAGGAACCTCAGACAATATCTCAGAAAAAAATTGTTTGTATTTAATTACGAAGCTGCTTCACTTTGAGCCTGCTAAAATGTTGCAATAAAACGTGGTTAATGACTACATGTTACTATATAATATGTATTTACTTGCTAACTTACATACAGATAGTCATATCATACTAAAAATATGTTTTTATAGAAATTATAATCTTAAAGTAAAATATTATGTGCATGTGCAAATGCATTTTAATGCACATAACAATTTTTATCTATAGAGATAATGTATCTTTATGGATAAAAATTGCGGGTCTTAAATCCGTAGACACTGCACTAATAAGATAAGCAAATACTACCTAATCATTGTGTGAAAGTCGGTAAACTTTTTTTTTATACCACGACGGTGGCAAAAAGCACACAGCCCACCTGATGGTAAGCAGTTACCGTGGCCTATGTACGCTTGCAACACTTGGGGCATTACATGCACCTTGCTGACCCCTAAGAAACCTATTCACTGTATGTTTTGTAAATTAGAAACAAATTTCAGAGGTACCTAGTTAAACCTACATCGAAGGTCGTATTTGTTATCGTGCGATGCTAAATCGCAAATCAGTGGTAGATACTATTTATTTGAATAGGCTCTCAAACATTTTACGCTATCAGACGAGTAACGTGTACCACGTTGATAGCAATTTATGGGAACTTTAATGTGGTGCTAATAATAATATTTACATTAATGTTAGAATTCAGCACTGTAAAAAGTTAACATTTTGAGCAATTCTCCTTGATTGCTCGATAAGTTCATAAACCTTAACATTACCACGTTACTTGTATGATGTTTGAGAGCCTATTCAAATAAATAGTAATAGAATGGAGCTGCATCTTATTTGCAAAAAGGGAAACTTCAGTTTTGTTTTTACTTTGGTCAACGATATTCATAATTATGCAGTCAGGTAATCGAAGTCGTACAAAAATACCTCAAAGTACGATTTTAATATTTATGAACTTACAATATTTTTTATTTGACAACTAAATAATGAGTTAGGTAACTTTTTTAGTTTCAAAGTGTTGTCGATTAATGTGATATTGTCCATAATAGTGTTATTGACAAGATATTAGTAATTGTATTGTTTTCCTTCTAAGAGCCAAACATTAAATTGTCCTTCGTCGCCTCCAGTGTTCGAATGCGAGTTGTAAATTATAGGTACCTAAATATTCAATTGTCTTTTAATAGACACAATCGTTGGATGTAGGTACTTGCCTGCTCTTAAGTAATTTAGTGCCGATGTATCGAGGCACTACATTCCGCGTCATACTTAGGCATTCGATTTCATTGGTTTGCATGAGGACTTTAAATGTAGGACGTAGGTACGGTTATTGACACCCGTGATATATTTACTATATTAAATATTTAGGTACGCACCTACGCGAATTTTATCTTATCAAAAAGTTAGAGGTAGGTAACTTATACCTCTCATGAGTTAAAATAAATCATGTTTATCATCTCAGTCATATTAAAATTCAATGGCATTATTCTTTTATTATAGATTATTTTTGGCTGGATACATTCATTCTAAACATACATTTTATTGTTTCAGCAATGTGGATCAGTGCAACTCTTTGCGAATCTTGAAAAATCTGCTGGCAATTACTTTGCGGACGCAGATGGCAATCTCTTTTTGGATGTTTACACGCAGATATCTTCTATACCTCTCGGGTACAACCATCCGGCGCTTCTAAATGCATTCCGCAGTGATAGTGAAGTGGTTCGTAATATAATAATTATGCAAGATATGATTTCAAGTATTCCACATCAAGTGTTTTTCAATAAAAATTGCTTAAAACGCAAATAAGTACCTACTTACGTAAAACTAACTACGTAGTATACATGAAAAAGATTTATTAAATACATAAATACATTTTTCAGAGAGCTTTGGTAAATCGTCCTGCTCTTGGAGTATTTCCTTCAGACGACTGGCCTAAAAAATTGCGAGATGTTCTGTTGTCAGTCGCACCACCAGGCTTGCAGCACGTCATGACCATGATGTGTGGGGCTTGTTCTAATGAAAATGCGTTCAAAGCTGCTTTCATATTATATTGTACAAGAAAACGTGGTGGCAAAACAACATTTACGGACGAAGAAATGAAAACAGCACTTCTAAATATTCCCCCAGGAGCTCCAGATTTATCAATTATGTCGTTCAAGGTCTGTATGGTTTACTTACTTACAAAAAACAAGTAATTACATGTCGTGAAATTTTTTAAACGTTGAATATGAACCTAAAGTTGAACAAATTCACAAATACGTTGAAAAGTTTACTGAAGTTATTGGAGAAGGTAAGGATAGAGTTAGGAAGGAAGAAAAATTAAGTATCATTATATGTATTTGTTTAAATATGTAATGGGACAGTACCTACCTGTAAAAGTTCATTGAATTATTATTTTTGAAGATTATTGTTATTATGAATCCTATAAAGTAATAATAATATTATTGTAGGTACTTTTACCGGAGTATAGTCAATATTAGTGTAGAAAACTGTCGCGGAGAACCTAACGGGTTACCGGGTCTCCGGCTCGACGTGCAGGAGAAGGAACGGGGTGGTTTTTAGTCAGTAAGAGTCTGACACTCCCTCCCGCCTCACCCAGACGGGAGCAGTCAATCCATGATTTTGCCCCTTAAAAAAAGTGTAAAACTAAATGTTAGATCAAGGCTTCGACGAGTTCGTTAAACTGTTTCGGACGTAGTATCGTTGAATGTCAATGACAAAACACCCGAACACGAATGGCCGACGACCGCTTCATGGTCAGCGGTCATTAAAGATATCCTCAGATTAATGTTTATAAGCTAATTTTAGAATTTTGAATTGATTATTTGGTTAACAAATAAGTATTTTTTCATGTAATTTATTTCTGAAGGTTGAAGTATTGAAGAACAGTTTTTTAATCAAAGCTTTTAGTTTCATACACTGAGAACTTCACACAAGTGAAGTTTGCGCTCATCAGTATTCTATACTTTTATTATGTGTTCTCAGTAGTGAGTACGGTACCTAGGTATCTATTAGTGAAATTTAAAAATATTCAGCACGTCCTATACAAAAAATTTGGCAACGGTATATCTACTAAAATTGTCTGCATTGTTTATCATTACCTTGTGGAATATTGAATAGGTAGCTACTAACGTGTACTATGTCTAAGTTGTAGGTACCTATGTTCGTTTTATTTGTATGTCTATTATTTTTATATAGGTACCATACTTTCTATATCGATTAATCAATAATACAGGCTTTTAGTGTAATCAGTCAATTCTTACGCTAGATATACTTAGGTGTCTTTGTATTTGCATAGCCACAGTGCCTATTCATTGTTCTAACTTTTCTCATAGATAATGTGGGAAAATAACTGAAAATTTTGTTCGCTTCTTTATTACATTATACTTCTATCTATGGAAGTGAATAATTTGACAAGTTTTTAAAGTATATCAATACCTATTCCAACTTCCCACCTTTATCAGTGAATCTAATTACAATTCGTTCTACATAGATATGTACCTACTATATGTAAAATACATCAGTGTTGTTCTTGTAGCATTATTAAAAAACAACTCTTATGCCACTATTTGATGTGTTGATATTGTGTTGGCCTTATTCTACTTTTGTCCCCTTTGTGCTAGTCGATCTCGAATACGCCTCAACTAGATCAAATGGTTCAATAGGCGTTACTTCCGTTGAACTCCAGATGGAATACAGATGCGTAAAATAACTAAATCTGTATATAGAATCGTCTTTCTGTATAGGCGACATTTCAGATTTTCTTTGATAGTTCATAATCTAAATTAATTAAGATACCAACCTCCTTTCTCTTGGGTAACGTAACTTTAATCACTACAAATTCTGTTTTAAAAATGTTGGTGAACCTTCGAAAGAGGATTTAGAGTACACAGTTTCTGTCTTCAAAGATTAATTTATTAAAGATTGTATTTAAAGAGACTTTTATCATTTCCAGGGTCTGAATAGTAGTGGCGCTTTCCATGGACGTACATTTGGATCTTTGGCGACTACGAAGTCGAAAGCTATTCATAAACTGGACTTCCCAAGTTTTGAATGGCCAGTTGCTAGATTTCCAGAATATAAATATCCGTTGGAAGAGTTTAGACGTGAAAATGAACAGCAAGACAAAGAGTAAGACTTTTTTATCATATTGTGTAAATTATTGACTTGAGCGTTTATTTGGTCGTGCATATAAGTACTTTAAAAAGGAAGATAATTGCCATACTATGCTTTTAAAGGTGCAATTCACATATTTTTGTGTTGTACCACCTCAAACTGTAATAATCATTTGGAGCATTTATTTAAGGTGTCTCGCAGATGTTGAAGAACAATTTGACAGGTGGGAAAAGAAAAGGCCTATCGCTGGCGTTATCATTGAACCCATTCAGGCGGAAGGCGGTGATAACCATGCTTCACCGGAGTTTTTCCAAGAATTGCAAAAAATATGTAAACGCGTAAGTTTTGTTCATTAATTATTGTTGAACGTCTTCATAACGTAAACATAACATAATCTTTTTAACCGACTTCAAAAAAGAAGGAGGTTCTCAATTTGACCTGTAGGTAGCTACTAATTTATACTTTTCATTTTTGTTTATAGTTTATTGTTACACGCTTTTGTTTACATTTGATATTGATAGACCACGTAGTTGATCGAGTTGTCGTGGCAAGGCATCGAAGTTTATCGTATTTTTTAAGCTTTCATATTATCAAGGGGTCTGGAAAATTGTGGTCATGTATGTACATAGGGGTATAGGGGGTAAGCATAGACGGGTGTCTGTTGGTACGCAACTAACATGATGTATGTAGGTTAATAAATAAGTAATAATAGGTAAACCTGTTAGGAAATCTTTGGGGGATATGTTTAGCAGTAGACCTCTTGTGGCTGACTGGCTGATATGATGATGAACATTTGAGACCTTTACATTAAGTACAAGAGTGCAGTGGCGTGCACAGGCTTTCAGAACACGGTAGGCAACATAGTATTGTATTATGATTAAACTCATCGTAAATACATAACAGATGTTTTTTATTCCTTCGTCAAATCTTTGTAACAGTGCCATCTCTCGTTGTTAGGTCGTGCCATCTCTCGTTGTAAGTTACTCGAAATGTATCGAGTGTCCTCTATAATTTTCGAGTAATTCGAAAAGAATCGAGCGTCTTTCAAAACCATCGAGTGCCCTCCATCTCTTTCGAGGGTTACTCGAAATCTATCGAGAGATTTCGAAATCAATGGAGAGTCCTCGAAATTTATCAAGCGTCCTCGATCATTTATGAGGGATAATTGAAATCTATCGAGTATACTCTAACATTTTCGAAAGTTGCTCGAAAACCATCGACTGTACACGAAAAATATCGAGCGTCCTCGAAATCCAACGAGTGTCCCCGATCACTTTTGACAGGTTCTCGATAGCCATCGAGCGTCCTCGAAAATCATCTAGCGCCCTCGAAAACTACCTAGCGCCCTCGATCACTTTCTTGAGTTACTCGAAATCTATCGAGTAGCCTCTATCATTCTCGAGAGGTAGCAGGAGACGCTTTGGGTGTAGTATCGCGTCGCGTTGTCAGGACATCCGGTCACTGTAACCTGACAAGTACCAGACCCGAGCGTACCTACGGCGCGTCGTGTAAAATGCAGGCCTCATAGAGCCATCAGACCACCATAGACTGGGCCCACCATGATTGTAGCCTTGCTGGAGGGTAGGTGGTTGTCATATGGGTACTGAGGCCCTGGCTTTAAGCAAGTTTTGAAAGGAATGGAGTGGTTTTTAGTTAGAAGGAGTTGTAAGAGTCACTTCCTCAAGAGACATTTGATGACGTTTTACCGACCCAATAAAAAGAGGGCGGCATAATCGGTAACGTCGGCCTGAGTCTGTGCACTACGCCGACAATGACGTTCACCACTTCACGCATAAATTTATGAATGGATTGGAGGCAACGGAACCGGGTACCTGTCTCGCTCGTCGTCAATGTTTACAGCAATATACTGTACGCCTGATGACATGCAACACGTGTCGCGTATGACGAAATGCGTACGCGCCGTGTGACACCATTGTTGCTATATTTTTTATTTGAGGCGTTTACTATTTTTATTTTAATTATTATTTTTGTATTCTGTAGTAAAATTAAAATGTTTACATTATTTATTAGGTAATAGAGGTATTATACACGGTATTTGTAAGGTAGAAGTAAAGTCTTTTTGCCTATATGGACTGCACGCCACTAAGAGTGGGTTATATCGTTATGTATCTGTAATGACCACTTTTCTTTTCTCAGAGAGGAGCGGCCTTGATCATAGATGAAGTCCAGACTGGATGTGGACCGACAGGCAAAATGTGGTGTCACGAACATTTCAACTTGCCATCACCACCTGACTTGGTCACATTCAGCAAGAAAATGTTGACTGGAGGATTTTATTTCAAGCCGGAATATCTGTAAGTTTTAGTTCCACTATTTACAGAAGTAAAATAAAATGGGTATCCTAAACTAGATAGCTTTCTTTAATTTTATTTTATTACGTTTTGGATTGTTACTGTTACGAATCATTAAATGGTGCTTTTAATAAAAAATCAAGCGCGATAAAATGAAAAGAATAAGCATGAGCACTAGCAAAAGTAAGTATTTAAGTCTTCAAATATTTAACTATATTTTTAATTTTCGTCAGATCACCACAGCCGTTAAGAATTTTCAACACGTGGATGGGAGATCCATCGAAGTTGGTTATGTTGGAACAAGTTATCAAAGTAATGAAAACTGAAAGACTTCTACAATTAGTCGAAGAGACAGGAAAGGTTCTTAAAAGTGGCCTGCACGCTCTAGAAACCGAATTTCCCTTCATGATAAACAGCGTGCGTGGTCGAGGCACATTTTTGGCATTCGACGCCGCCACACCGGAATTACAGGATAAGATTGTCAAAACCTTGAAACAAAATGGTATGTACAAAATAACCAGTAATATTATTTTCAACTTGATACGTGTGTATCTTACAAATATATTTCTAAAGACACAAAAAAAAAAGATTCATTAAAGTGTATTATTTCGTTTCGTATCCAGAGGGTAGGTACGAGTTTGTTTTACGTTTCAAATAATCGAATCAAATACGCATTCGGCGCTGTGATTGGCGGGCTTTAATGAACCAACCAATCGGAGCACCAAAACCGGTCTCGTTGCGATTAATTTTAACGTAAGACAAACTCGTAGTAAGCCTCTGTTAACTTTGACAGTATTCACATTGTCAAAGTATGTATATGCTAATTAGTGATAGATCTATTATTGCAACCTGTATTATCCTCAAGTCATCTTCACGCTTCAAATTCAAGCCTACAGCAGCGGTATCACGTTTTGGCTCAATAAATATGATTTTTTAAACAGACGGTGACAATTTGACCGCTATAAACTTTTTTAGAGACTAGCGACCCGCCCGGCTTCGCACGGGTGCAATATGCATGTATTATACATACAAACCTTCCTCTTGAATCACTCTATCTATTAAAAAAACACATCAAAATCCGTTGCGTAGTTTCAAAGATTTAAGCATACAAAGGGATATAGGGACAGAGAAAGCGACTTTGTTTTATACTATGTAGTGATATTGGGCTGGGTTTATTTAGGTGTCGTCTTTTAGTAACGGATTTCAAAGGATACATTGAATGGGACATTAATATTCTCTATTTTTATTTACAGGTGTGCTCGGAGGTTCGTGTGGAATACGTACAATTCGCCTTCGACCGGCTCTTATTTTCGAACCGAAACACGCTGAACTCTTTTTGGAAATTCTTAGGAAATCTTTGAGGCAGTTGAAGTAGGGTGACTTTAGTATGTTTTGCAGTAAGATTAATAATTATTTCAGTAATTTTATTGTGTAATTACGTATAAATCTACGTATATAGATAGATATCAATTCATATTTCCTTGTGAGAATCGCAGATTACTTATACATTGAAAGTATAATTAGATATCTAAGTATTACCTATATTTTTACGTGCCATAAAGTAAGTAATTTTCTTTTTCTATAAGTTTTTATTCAAATAAGTATCCAATCAAAAATATTAAGGAAATAGATATTACGTTTTATAATAATTTAGCTTTAGCACTCAAACTTGTATTTCGTGCTTCTTGCGTTTATGCAACTGTGAAAAAAAAGAATGTATTGCAATACTATTTTGATAATAAATGCATTTTATTATGAATTGAAAGTAACGTAACCAAATATTTTATATCAACGGTAAAACTAAAAATTTGCCCTGCACTTATAATTATGTATGTAGTTAATGTACATACCTACTTATGTATTGTATTTATTATGATTGTTATTATTTTGTAATGTCCTATGTATTTTAACTTAACGCGTTGTAGGTATCTATTTCATGCCTTTGGTTGTATTGAGACATATATGTAGGTATGTATTATTGTATTACGATGTATACAATTGATTTCATTCATATGCTGATGCTTATACATATAGTTTTACTTATTCAGATGTTGGTAGGCCTACATGTGTAGGATGCACAATTTTATACGTATAAATGCACAAATGATAATTTACCCATGAGTATGAGTTGTTATGGTCAATGTGAATTCATTTATCCATATGTATGAATAAAAAATAATTTCCGTTCGTTAGTCTCGCTAAAACTGAAGAACGGCTGAACCGATTTGGCTAAATTTGGTCTTGAAATCTGTCTGGTCTTGTAAAGTCCAGGGAAAGTTTAAAAGGTGTGAAAAAAATTTTAGGCAGTACGAAGTTTTGCCGGGTCAGCTAGTCTGCAATATAAAAGAAAATCGTGTGAGTTACACTATTTATAACTCAAGAACGGCTTAACGGCATCGATTGTGACGAGGTAGTTTGGAACCACGAGACGGATATCAGACAGTTTTTTATAATGATTTATTTTATAGATCTTATCTTTTTAACCAAATCATAATGGCATAGATACGGTTCGTATATAATTTGCAGGTATTCTGAAAATATCTTAAGAATGAAAATAGATGAAACAATGAATCATGTAGGGAAAAGGTATGTGAACGTCTTACATTTAAGATTAAATTCCTAAGCTGAATAGATAGGACTGATTGATGTCTTCCAAATAATAATTACAATAAAAACTGAATTGATTCTATTCTAAGATGGCTTTTTATTTAATATCCCATATTATGTAACCAATAACTTACTTAACAATATAACTACTTTTTATAATAACTATTGTGATACATGCTAAATTAATTAAAAATCGGGGGTGCATGACTCACGTGAAAATATTGAGAAAGCTCTATTAGTTTCGAACCACCACGAGGAAGAACCTCTCTGTGGTTCGAAACCACCACAGCTTTTCTTAGTATTTTCACGTGAGTAACCTGCGATTTTTAATTAATATACCTAGTATACGTTATACCTATCTACCTAAGTGGGTATAGGTAGGTTGTGTGCCCTGTGCCCTGTTTGCCCCTATGCATCTCCTTACTTCCATTTGAACACCTCGTATAGTTTGGAAGTGCACAAGTAATACCTTCTCTACACTTAGATGTATCCAAACAGAAAGCCTTCTATAAAATAATAAGCTTTATAATAGTCTTGAAGAAAATAATACAGTTCATAAACTAATTGCTAAAACATTTTATGTAGACGTTGTAACACAATATGGTGGTAAGGAGTAAGGTATACAATCTTCTATTAAACAAAGCTGATAGTCGATCGAACTGGATTAAATAGTGCAGCACATGAATAAGAACATTGTACTTGGTATCTACTGTTGCACTTATAGCTTACTTAATTAATTTAATATACTTAATTTAACTCAATACAATTTCAATTATCTATAATAAATAATAAGAATTCGGATAGTAAAAATATGTAGATACCGAGATCTTAATTGCTCTGTTGAAAGTAAAAGGGCATCCCTGAAGTCGACTTTCCAAACTAAGCCTTTCTTTTCCAAACTGAAGCAGTTGGCACAGAATTTATGATTCCATAATACTAGAGTACTATACAGGATAACGCAAGCATAAATACAGACAATAAAATAAAGAATTTGTAGAACAGCAGTCAAAAGACAGGACTCTTGCCCATCACTTGGTGCCATTTCATTGTCGACTTTAGGGACACCCTTTATGCACTTACGCACACAGTAGGTATTAAATACTACACATATACATACGAGAGTTCATGTAAAATAATAATTCGGAGATTGTATGATTAAGGGCTCGTACACAAAACTGCGATGCGATGCGAATTGCTGCGATGCGATTTCGTGCGACAAGGCGTCTCCCAGGGTGACAATTCCTTCGACGACCGTCAACCGTACTAAACGTATTTTAAATTGAAATCGTCGTGACATGGATCGTAAAAAGAAGTATCTATACACTTCTGTTATTGTTTAAGAGATACAGGAAGAAGAAACAAAGAAGATTTTGGGAAGATAAGATAGTGATTTGCGCGATGCGAATTAATTCGCAAGTTCTTGCACATTTGCGATTTTGCGATGCAACGTCGCATCGCAGTTTTGTGTACGTTCCCTAAGTCCTAAGTCACATCATGAATAACCATTTGACATGGTCAGTTGGTCATGGTCAGACCACTTACAATACCACAGTCATTCCTAACTTATAAAACCTTTTTTAAGGACCTTTTTATGTCAAACAGAAAATATTGTCGTTGTTATGATGACAGCATTATGATTGTTTGATATCTGTTCCAGCATCTAGATGGGCGATTTGTGATTTTTGGTTTATGTGGTTTACCACAAGAAAGATTTTATTCTTATAATTTTTATAAGTATATTTTATTTACGTTTGCTAAGAATTTATATTTGTTTAAAAACGTAAGTTATTTTGTAATAACAGAACATTATTAGATTTATTTATCTTTTCATTAAAAAATTAGGTACAAAGTTGAGAGGTTGAAATAATCGTAATCCACGAGGTAACAAAAAATGTATTTTTTATTTAGTAAATTAATAATGATCAATACGTGGAAACTTGATACCTAGTAGCTAAAATAAATAACATTTTGTAACTGTAAGTTGCAAAATTACAACTTACATTTTTATTTAATAAAATTTCTTAACTCTTGAGAATATCCGCACTATTTATACTTCTAAAAAATTTGTGTGAATAGTGAAAGTTTTTCTGATACATGAACTTTATTTCACGAAAAACACTCAAACATTAAATACATTTTCGCAGAACTAAAAACTTTGTATTTGAAGCGTTTTTTTATTAATTGCATGTTAAAAATAAAAAACAGGCATTTAATGAATGAGTAAAATTGGGTTTGAATACGTTTATTCCCTTTCAATAAAAATAATAAAACTAAATTACAATAATACACTCATTAGAAATAATAAAACTATATTATTATAAATGGTTATCATCGTAACAGTGTGTTATTTGCTTTAACAAACATATTACTCTTATATATTTTAACAAAATTATGATAAGAAAAATCCAGATGTGTAGAAAGTATTAAAAAATTTATCTACAATCCAAAATACCTTCAAAAACCATAAACAGAAATCAAAAAGTACTATGATTAATTGTGTTGCCTACAAAATATTTATTAAACCTATATACATAAGTAACTATACCGATGTACATACATTTTAAGTTACATTGCCAGTTAAATATGTATATTGTGCATATAGGGCTATACCCCATTTTTTTGAGGGGGGAAAATCATCCAATTACTTCTACCGCCCGGGTGAGGCGAAAGGCAGTGTCAGATTTTTGCTGACTAAAACCTTAAGCCCTTCGTGGCTCCGTATGGCCATCAGCTCTATTGGATCCCATCTGAGGTGGTCTGATGGCTCCTTGAGGCGCGTGCGGAACGCGACGCTCTGTACGCTCGGGTCAGGTTCTGGTCGGACGGCGAGGTACCCGTGCTCGCTGTCCACAGACCTGTGTTTACGGTGGCCAGAGAGTTCTCTATATCCCTGGG